TGATCTCTTGTCCTCGTCTTCTTCTTTTATCTGTCTATCCATTCATCCATCTATACATATATAATCAGTCTCCCTCCAAGCCCCCCCGCACGTCGTTGGGTGCGAAAAGTAACCAGCGCTGGCTATTATTATTACATCAGAGCTGCAGGGTTGGAGGGCCTAGAAAGCTGGGGACTTTGCCAACGCCAAGATGCTAGATTCCGTGCAAAAGAGAAGACGCAGACGAAGATGAAGAAAAGACCATCCGATGGTCAACGTGCATGAGATCGTAAGTCGCAAACATAACTCTGATGATATATGTGGCTGCTGCATATATAATGTAACTAATAACTACAAGGAAGAGAAAACGCTAGACTGCAGATTATCGGGATTTCGAACGCCGCTGCTTGAATCTCCAGGCTGAAACAAATCGGATATGTCGGATGCATATGTGCAAGGGGAGTGAAATGATAAGTATAAACAGGGAACAAACAGAAAAATAGAAAGTTGGTAAGTGGGAGGGTGAAGGGCTGAAGAAGTATGTAAAAGAATGTAAATTTTGATCCCCAGTGAAGCCTCCGTGACCGAACCAGTTGTATATGCGCCCCCTCTCCATATAAACCCCAGTAACCCGTTGTAAAAAAAAAAAATAAAAATAAAAATAAAAAAAATAAATAAAAAATAAAAATCCGTTAACCCATGAATAAAGAAGCAAAGGAGAATGAGATGAAGAGCGAGTGGTTACCATGTGAAACACTCTTCGATGAAGTCGACATGGGTAGGAGTTTGTCGTTGTCGACACGCAAATCGAATCTCGTCGCTCAGGCTTCCCGTTCCGCACACCATGACACCCATGGCCCCGACCTGCTTTTCGATTTCTCCGTCAAGGATGGTGCCAATATCAGGCTTTCCAGGGAACATCTGGACTGTCGTGCTGGGGCTGTGAATCTCCTTGGTGTTGCGTGGTCGAGTGATGAAGAGCATGATCCGGAGGACCTCTCGTCTTCGGTTCATGGACAGGATGCTGGTCATCCAGGGCCGGATCCATTCAAGATGTTCGGGAGATTGGATCACCCATACGAGAGTTAGGCGACGGGTAGCTACTGTGCCGTCTGCAAAACCAGCTACCAAATGGCGCACGTAGGAGACATGGTGGCTGATGCCAACACCCGCGGCAAAGAGCACGACTGAGCCGTATGAGTCAAGGACGTGCTCAGCTCCGTAGGGGCCTTCTACCATGGCGGAAAGGGTGACACTGGTAGCGCCGTTCTCTGTAGCTTTCTCATATAATTTGTTCGTCATTCCGGTTCTTCGTCGAATGACGAGACATGGTGGGATGTTGAAGGCCGAGGACGTCTTGTTTGGTCATGACGAGACCCTTTTCATCAGTATCGCTTTCTTCAGTATCACTCCATGCGACGCTGAAGGGATGAGATGTCCACCAGCCAACGGACGGGATGTATAGATATAGATGTTGACCAGGTCTGAAAGTCCAGGGTCGAGCAACTCTTAGAGTAACGCGCATTGCTTCTCCAGGAAGAGCTTCTATAGTTGCGGTTGTGTTACCACGTAGGAAGTTTCTATAAACGATTGTGGCGATGCGCCATGCTCTCTGTTGGAACTCTAGTTAGCCAGAGAACAGAACAGTGAAGGGATGTAGTGGTTACCTCAAAGGCCCATAATAGAACGGCGCCGAGAAGATACTTGAGTTGAGAATAACCAACCAAGTGTAACCATGTGAACGCAAGGAAGACTATAACCAAGACTATATGGAAATGGAGGAACGTCTCATAAAACGCATGGCGAAGCACGGAGACGGAGTGAAGAGAGATGACCACAACGCAGACAGTTGCCTATAGGTAAAGTTAGTGTCTTCATGGTTTATTATTATGGCTAGAGAGTTTGGACTTACGACAATGCCAGTCAATATCAAATTGCTGGAGCCCAATGACTCCCGTAGATCAGCCCAGCCATCTATTGATGCTCTAGTTAAGAGAGATCCTAGATAATTATATCAGGATAACATAACATACCTGTGTGAACCTTCCCTACCATCCAGCAGATGGTGTGAGCTAGAGATTCCAGAACAACAATGCGTCCCAGCCATCGATGAAGCAAGTTCCAAGTATCAAACGAGACATCCAGCAACTTGATCAAAGGGTTATTCCGACCAGCCATGAGAACAAGAGGGATAAGATTGACGGTTGCCATAGTTCCAGTTCGTTTGCGAATCGAAGGGAGAAACTCCTTTTCAGGGCTGGAGAAGGGAAGTTTATGCAGGCAAAGATATGCATTACTCCCCACCACCATGAGCAGCAACACGGTGTGAAATCGGGTGGGGAGGGTGCCCATGTTCAACGCCGTAGAGAGTCGGTACTCGCGATTGTGACGCTTCCAGAGCAAAGGAGCATACATAACATGCCTTTTCATCCAGGCCCAGAAGCTATGGGCACTGATAAAGTATCGCTGGGTATCATTCGAGAGACTGGTAAGACGTCGGATATGAGCAGACATGCGAATGACGGCAGACCAGATGAGAATAACGGCGAAGACGCTGCCTCCAGATAGGATATAATAACGAGCAACTTTGTCATCGTACACTTCCTGCGGTGTCATGATATGGGGTCCCTCTTCATGATGTGATGATTCCTTGTCATAAGCAGCCGCTGCAAGGCCCGCTAGCAGCGGCGCCAGAAGGAGTGACGACCTCATGAGCAGTTGTAGAGCTCAATGCGGAGTTTGAAGAGACTTTAGCGGAAATGCGGGCGCGATAAATGCTGAAAAAGAGTGACGATGTTAACGACTATCTGCAGTCGTATACAGTGTGTGTATTTTGTGTTGTCTGTGTGGTGAAAAAAAAGAGTGTAAAGAGAGACACCGCCTCGGTCTGCTTGATTAAACCGACGTAGAGACTGGAAGGGTAGCGAGAGAGTGAAATTGGTGTCTCTCAATGAGCGAACGGCGTCTCTTAAAGGAGCGAGCGTGGTTGTTGTTGTTTGTTGCTGTTGTAGATGTTGTTTCCCTTCCGGAGTCGTCCTGTTGTTGTTTGAGGTCGTCGAGGCAGAAAAAGACACAGCCGAGCCAGTCAGCATAGCATGTCAGAGACGACCGAGTCTCCAAACCACCGTGCCCTGCGAGCTCTTGTCAGCCTGGTGCAGGGAGCAGGGGACGTGAGAGCTGTGGGAGTCGACGTTTGAAGAGACGGACAGACAGAGACGACATAAGAAACAAGACGAGCAGCTGGCTACAGGCGTCCTTTTCTTCCCCCTGGTCGACTTCGGCTTTTTCGCGGGACCAGGCGGATTCGAATAATATAAAATGTACTGAGCGGGACCGGCAGCAGCAGTACGGGGGATCCATGGGACTAGCGGCACCTGCAAGTACTCTGCAAGTCACTCTTGGGCTGACGCCTGGCGGGCGAGATACCGTCGAGAGACCTATGCCACCAATGCAAGGTACAGCCGTCGATCAAGCCACCGCCAGCCAGTTCGAGTCAGGAGAAAACGATGGCGAAAAGTTAGAAGAGCAGGCGGGCGAATCAGCAGCCAGGTAAGTCAGAAATCTCCCAGAGGAATGGCTAGCTGGCTGATAGTGACTGGAGCAGGGCCTCAAAAGGTGAAACGCCCGAAGGCTGGGCGTAAGACTTATCTCGACAGCGAGGGCAACTGAAAATACGGAGAAGAGAGGGATACTCCACCGGGACCATCGCGAAGGATGGATATGGCTGCCTATACTCCGTACTGAGGTGAAGAACTGAAGGAGAAAGCATAACTACGGAGTACTCCATACGGGGTGGTTCTAGACAACTGCGAGCAATGTACTCCGTACGGAGTAGGAAGAAGGGCTCTCTCTCTCCCTTCACTGAGATGCCATGGGACCTGTAGAGTTGGTCATCGCCTCCTGTTTCAAGAGAGCGAGTCAGAAGTATATCTGAAGAGTGAAAGCAGCGAAAAGGTCCTCGGACGGTGATCAGAGGTGTGATGAGATCACTGGCCCCTCGATGGTTAGCTATGATATCGAATCAGCCCATCCTCCATCCCATCTGTGTTTCGGCAGCTACGTGGAGAGGTCTGCCAGTGTGGCCTGACCGAGTATCACCTTAGTATCGCTCCTGTCACAAATCACTGGGCCCTAATATAACTCTGGCATGGGCTGCTAAGTGCTCCTGTCTGGGGGAGGAGATTCTACGGAGGGTCTCCATGGCTGTCATAGCTTATGTATAGCTGGAGCTCCCGATGCCATCTTCCACACAGGCTTTTCCTACAGCGGTTAGAGGAGTCAAGCTTGTTACGTCCGTTGCAGTAGCTTCGACCTACTCATCCCTGCTCCCTCCATCGCGAACTTAGTCGTTTACATGGAGGGAGACAGCTCCAGGACTCGAGCTCCATATCGAAACTTGTTCGCTAGCTACTAACGCTTCCCTGGATTAACAGCCATCGCGATATCAGACAGCCAAAAAAATGGACCTCGAATTCCCTCACGCTGGTGGAACCAAAGGGCAAAAGTTACTAGGTGAACCAGAGCGAGGACTTTCGACCCAAAATCGCTGATTGAACCGTTGGAACGAACAAAGTCTGGCGTCTCTGTCCCTCTCGCCCACTCAGAAGGCAAACCACGTCTTCCCCAAAACCCACAGAGTGATAAAGACGTTGAAGTTCGCCATTTATTCCCTCTCCCCACCGTTACCCAGGTTTCCTACCCAGGTTTCCTAGGTGCTGGATGGATTCTTTCCCCCGCAAAATGGTACTGTGTTAGGCAACTGGGGTAGTCGGAAATAGGCGCCACTCGACTCGGACACCTACGACAGGTTACTGAACGGTTCAGAGAGGTAGTCCTAGCCCCCATCTGCAGCAACTAACAACGTCGAAGCGAGGGCTATGTTGTTGTTGATACAGCTCCGTAGAGAGCTGACATCCAGAACAAGCCATTGTAGGTTTGTCGGCATGAAATAAACAACCCCGAACACACGGCGCGCACAAACAGATAGTTGATTCAACTCCCTGTCTAAAAAAAGGCTTCTATATCAAGGGTTCAAGTACATGAAACCGGAAAGATCTCGGCTTCGCATCAAAGTATGTATAGTCATGAAAATATGTAAAAAGAAAACTGAACACGACGGTTGATATCCGTAAAGCATACACGCTGGACTTCCTGCGACATGTGGGGTTTCAAGCCAAAGCAAAGCATGAGGGGTATAGCCAAAAGAAAAGAAAAGGACGCCGGTATCAAACCATGTGAAAATACTGAAAAAAAGAAAGGTATAGTAAAAATAATGGTCAAGGAATCTGGATGCAACCAACTTTGGCTTCGTGAGGATATTGGAAGAGGGGGTAAAACAAAGGAGGAGCCATATCACATTGCATATGCGATGAGGGTGGCAGATCGGATGATAGGGATATTATCCGGTATAGAAGTATCACCAGATCAGATGCTCTGATCTCGGAACAGGGGAAATAAAGTGTCATGGCACTGTATCAGCAGAAGCTTAGTTCATCCTCACTAGAGTCTGAACATGGTATCATACGTTCTGCAAGAGACAGTCTTGCTGACCGACGAGGGCGAGCACTTCTAGACTCCTTGAGACGGATCTGGGCCTGGCTAGAGGCTGTCTGTATCCTGTGCTGGAATCGTTGGCTGAGGGCTGGCGCATGGTTAAGGATATCCTCTTCTTCCTCGTCTTCTTCATTTTCTCTTTCCTTATCTGTAAGGTTAGATGCCGATGACTTAGATCCAAACGGCTCTGTAGCACGACGCTTCCTGCGACACGCGATGTGCTCTTTCAACGACACAGCCCCCAAGTCATTTGGCTTCCGTTTACGAGGCACTTCAATCACAACAGCTACATTATCTGAGTTACCATGCATTCGTGTTCCTCTAGTCGACCGTTGATGGCCAGTGGTCGTGGGAGAAACAAGTTTCCTGGGTACACGTTGACAATGTCGTGATTCATTGTCTGACTGAGTATCCATGTTTGGACTCCAATGTCTGGCGGCCTGACGTTGCGGGAAGCATATGTTGTCTTGGCCCCTTCCTGACACTTTTATGGAGCTTTGATCGCCAAAGGAGCCGGCTAATCGTTTCCTTTTGGGCGGTGGTGAGTCTGAATACTCCGATGAAACGCTGGAGTTATCCCGGTTTTGGTTTGATGTTATTGAGAACCCTGAGTCGCTCTCTTCGGTATCTGATATTTCCATCTTAAGACCAGTCATGCCACGCTGAGATGTGGAGGCGGTACAGTCCGGCAACGGTGGTGTAGATTTCGAGCTTCTAGCTCGACTCAAGATAGGAGACTTTGCAACCCATTCACCAATACCATCCTCCCATCTAAATCCAGTTTCTGTGCGTCGTAGTGAGGGGGTCAACGGTTGCATTTCATCCATATCACCCTCGCTAAAATCACAAGCAGCCACTTGATCTTGGATATACGAGGCCCAGTCGTGGTGTTCCTGTAGGCATGTCGACTCAGCAAACTTCAGCGCAACTTCAACAGCCACCTTGCTGAGCACTATGTGGAGAATAGGGTGCTTTTCGACGGAAGAAGTGTTAAATGCTAAGGTGAATCGCTTAGCTACTTCGAAACTGTTATCATTCCGCACCCTGCCTAGACATCTTGCTATCTGTAGAATAAAGTCGGCTAGCTCCTCTACCAACTCCTTCTTGTTTGTATGCATAGCAGTTAAGTATCCAAGATTATGTAGAATTGGTGAGGCGCAAATTGCGGATTGCCTTTGGCTCTCCTTGCGACTATTACCCAAAAAATTGGCCAAAAAGTCTGAAAGCAAAATGGCACACGCTCGGGTTGGTTGTAAGTTCAACTTGTTCTTGCCCTTGTCCAAAATAGTTCGTTCAATATCTCGCTGCACGATTGTGGACAGATATGACAGCAAGTTATACATCGTTGAGGCCGCTGCCTTGCCCAATCCAGACTTGGCAAAGTGTGAGCTAGAAAGCACAGTGAGGATACTTGTAATACTGTTGCTGAGGGCGATAGAAATTGGGTCATAACAGCTAGCTTTTGGATTTAAAAAGGAGCTAGTAAAGCCTGGCTCGAACTCGCTCTTACGGACTCGGATAGCCCCTCGTTTTGACCGGCGTAGGTTGCTTAACACTTGGGCGGGAATTGTTCTCTTGGAGCCAGCAGCCGCTAGTATGGTCGAAGTGATGAGGCGTAGTGAAGCAAAGGAGTGTTCATCATCAGCCGCAAGGGATTGTAAGGCAGCTGTCAAATAGTATTTCATAGAATCTGTCGCTATCCATTCGGCTGGTAACCGGCCGCGGTCGAGTAAGGATGCCATTTCTCTGAAGAATATACTGAAGCTCCCCGAGGGCCTCACGTAAGATTCCAAAGTGTGTAATGCAACCGAATGGCTTGGCTTAAATAAATTGGAATCCAGGCGAATTGGAGGTGGGATGACAGGTGATATTGATAGCATGGCCGATAACAGAGCGCTTGCAGCGTCATGGGCTTGTAATGAAAAAGATTGCAAGACAATCCGTCGACTCAATTGAGGAGAGAGCCACCGTCTTCGCATTGCCTCGCACATCAGGTGGATACCATGCGATCGAACAAGTTCTTTTAGTGGTTTCCATCCGTTGTCACCCATTGCGTACATCTTTTCTAACTCAGTGATGATACACCCAGCGACATCTGTCTCCTCATCCTTTTCTTCTAGGCTGTTGACACGCTCCTGCTCCTGTAAAATATAATTTGATGTTGTACTAAGGGCCATTGATAGTAAAGAATTTGCCCCTCTATGAGGTTTGTTTTGCTGAGGATCACTCATCCTGAGAAACGTATCCCATGCGGAGAAAATGGTTTGCACAATTGCAACGTAGGACGGATCGTTGTAGGTATCTTCAATCCCATGTGCTATTTCACTGAGGCTCCAGCTATTCCCTAAATATTTGCGCTTCGAATAAGAGAACATTTTTTGGGCTTGCGGCATCTCGTTTTCTGTGCTGTCCACACTGCTCGACATTTTTGGAAAGGAAACCATTCGCCGTTTTCCTAGTATCAAAGGGGTCGCAATTGCGAGCTGCCCAGGTTGGAGTTTTTCGGTTTCTGGACTTCTGGCAACAACTTTAGAGCGGAAATTTGTGCGAGAACGTCCCTTTCTTCCAGAGTATCGGTGTTTTATTGGCTTTCGCGCCGCATCACCCGGAACCCATGTAGGATCTTCCTTCGCGGATTCAGAGTCGGACGCGTTCCCAGACCCTGACATTGACCTGCGCCCATTTTGGCTGCTGTTGAAGGAGCTTTCACAGCCACCGTATGCCCGCTGAATGTACTCTTCATCTCGTAATGGAGAGATCTTCCAGTGCTTCTCCAGTCGCACGTATATCGACGTTAAAGGCCGCAGGGCTCGATTGCACCATCTCAGATTGATCGGAATTTGCGGAGGAGGGGGTTTCGAACGAGAATTTATATGACCAGAACCCATTTTCAAAGAAATATATATCCAATAATACCTAAAATTATACCAGCGCAATGCCTGTTATCCGCACGAGCTTGAGCTCGAGAGGGATAATTAGACATAGGATTGAGCTGACAATGTGGTTCCTTCAGGTATATTGAGCTCCCCGGAGGATAAAAAACAATGTAAACTATAATAAACTGCTGGTATAGTTCCAGACATGTTATAAAATATGCTGCATTTTTGTGATGCTGGACAATGGGCTGTTTCAATGGTTGTTGTGACAAAAAGCTCCTAAAAGGTAAACAAAGTTGTTTACGCCAAGACAGTACACGTGATCAACTTAATCTTATCTTATCTTATCTTACCCCTGGCGAGATCCCGAGGGCTCTGGTTGGTGCTCTATTTACGTGCAAACGGACGTCTATCGCAATGATGGTAGCAGATGAATGCATGCCATAAGTTTCAATTCATTATCGTCGTCACCATATAACGAAAATCGGGTAGATAGCTTGGAAAGGAAACCTTGTCAAGGCAATCTTGCTCAGGATAAACCAAGAACTTCAATATCAGTGTTCCGCAGAGAACCAAAAAGGAAAAGTTAAAAGGGAAAAGATTTTGAAAAGTAGAGTAGAGATAGATATATACAATAAAAACAAATGATGTTCCCATAACCTAGGAGTTATTCGTGATTTTTATAGGAGAATAACACTTGCTCAACGGCACCAATAAAAGAAGTCCAAAACCCTTGCATTTGGCACAGCAAAAAGTCACGCTTTGAAGACAGGTAAAGAAACAAGAAAGAAACCGCAATGGTATATAGATGCACGCAAGGCACAAGGTATAGGAGATTCCATAGGGGTTTGCGTCGCTAGATGTTTGTCACTTTATGGCTTAACGGAAGTCTGTTTCGAGCCACGAAGTTTAGGATTGCGAGTAGTTCTCTTTTTTGGCTTTGAGCGAGCAGCATCGCCGCCCTCAATGAACTTCAAGAGCTCGTCGATGCTTCGGGAATCCAAGCTTGGGTTCGCACCGTCGACGCCAGCAACCATCTCAGATGTGGTTTGTCCTACTGAAGGCTGGGCTTGGGCGGTAAGAGATGAGCGGCCAGGCAAGTTTACAAGGCGCCGTCTGCGAGCTTGAATATCCTTTGCACGCTTAGCGATAGAGACAGCGTTCTGGGTGAGTTGCTCGAGCCAGCTCTCGGCCTCCTTGGTGTTGCGATCCTCGGGGCCAAGCTCGTTGAGGAAGATGTTGTAAGCTTCACGCATACGGTTGACGGCAGACTTGGAGTCTTGATCGAGTGCAAGAGCTTGAGCAAGCTGGAAGAGCAATGTAGCAGTGTTGACAGATTGTCTTCCAAACAATTCGTCGCAAACAGCGAGAGAAGACTCGAACCATTTGCGAGAGTCTGGGTACTTTTTCAAGTGCTGGAGCATAACTGCGGCATTGTTCATTGTAGTGATGGAGTCAGGGTGGCTTGGGCCATAGACGATCTTCCACAGCTCCAAAGCATGTCTGATGTAAACTAGGGCAGTCTGAGTATTTCCGTTGGCATGCTCAAACAGTGACAGGTTGAGGTAGCTGAGGATGGCATCGGAAGAGTCAACTCCCATTGTTCGCTCAGTGACGATAACTGCCTTGCGAGCTAGTTCCACGGCAGCATCCTTCTCATCAGTTTGGTAGTAAACCATGGATAGTTGATGGTATAGCTTGGCCACCTCGGGGTGGAGGATGCCGTAGATCTGCTCATGGAGAGATAGAGACTCCAAGATAAGTTCTTGGCCAAGTTCCTTCTGGTTCTGCATAAGAGAAATTCGGCCGGCTTCAAATGCCTCCTCGGCAAGGGCACTACGAGGAGAAGCATCCTTCACAATTGGAACGATGTTCACAATGTCATCGGGCACAAAAGTGAGAGCAGGTGCGGGCGCAGGGGTAGCAGCAGCTGCAGATGAGCCCTTCTTCTTCTTTTTTTTCTTCTCATCCTGAGAGTCACTGTGAGCTCCGTTTTCTGCGGGAGATTGTTCTTTAACTTGGGATTTGCTGAAGGTATACTCCTTAGCAACAAGCTGAAGACCAAGCTTGAGTGAGATATCTCGTAGAACTTGGAAATGCTTCAAGCTTCCAGTCCAGCTGGCCTCAAGTGTATATCTGTAACGAGATTTAACCTGCTTCTCGATGTCTGCAGCAAGGGATGCAGGAGTAACCTCCTCAAACGAGAAGTCGCCTTCTGGGTAAATTGCTCTGAGAGACTCATCAATCTCAGCACGAGGCTTTGAGTTGACTTCTGTACCTAGCAAACAGTTGAGCAGATGGGCGATACAGGCGGTGGCGAATGGTGGCGGAAGGTTTCGGAGGTACCGGTTAGCAATATGCTTGAATGAACGAGCAACCATATCCTGCACCACGAGAGCAACGAGAGATTGAAGTCTAGATCCCTTTTCTTGGGCGAGCTCTGCCACTTTTCCGAGGTATCTGATGTTAATACCACGTTTGTGGAGGAGTTGGCCGAGGGATTGACCATCCATCGGGAAGCCAACTTCACCGTTGTAAAGATCCTTGACTAGCTCTGGTAGTGCCTTTGATCTGAGGTGGTCGCAAGCATCACGAACTTCCTTCTCGTCTCGTGCCCATTCTTCCTTCTCCTCCTCAGTCTGTGGGACCTGACCGCTGAAAACGTCAGGGTTCAACGCCAGGCGGAAGTTGGAAATGTCAACTCTCTCCTGCTCAGAGTTGTCTTTCTTCTCGGCATCACCACCCTCACCATTCTCGACAGCCTTAGTCTCCTTAGCAGCGGCTCTGCGCTTTTCAACTTCCTCCTTGACATATTGTCCCATCCTGTATCTCCAGTACGCCTCTACGAGTTCGTGACGGAGCACCGGCATTCGGTGGGGATATTCATCATGTCCTTCGGCATCCTCAGTCCAAGAGATGTCGAGTGGAGTAATACGGTAAAGGTCGAGAACATATTTACGACCATCGGTACCAAGGAGACCCTTGGTCTCAACACTGCCCTCCAATTCATGTCGTACGCCATCTTTATCCCAGACAGCATGCTTCTTGACACGGAGGGCCTTGGAAAGCTTCTCGAAAACAGGAGTGAAAGCTTCATTCTTCGCGACAACATCCTTGCCCTCAACACCACCGTAATCAATCTGGTGCTCACCGGGCTCGCGGTGCTTAAAGATACCAGGCACAATACTCTGGCCAACAATACGTTTGCCGAGGTAGTCGACAACAACAGTTCCCGGGGTGAAAAGCCCTGGAATGTCAAGTTGGTTAACAGTCTTGACACCCATGACGTCCTTTCCAACTGCGATACGGGCAGCTTCGTCGCCACCCTCGGCAGCAAAGGTGCCGACACCGTCCGCACCAAAGGAAAAGAAGATGTTGTTGTAAACAAAGATCTGAGCGTCCCTGGCCTCCATTGGGTTCAAGGACGCAACCTCGCCCCTAGCGACCAAGATGGCGCCACGAACGGCAGCATCGTTATAGTCAGCAAAGAGTTTAGAGGTTAATCTTTCCCTGAAAACCTTCTCCTGGACGTTTTCCCGGGGAAGCTCTCTGGTAGTCTGGAATTCCTCGTTCCAGTCTCTCAAGGTCTCGGAGTTATCAATACCCGCAATCAAGTAGTTCTCCTGAGAACGGGTAGCATCCGATATGTGCGCCGTCGCCTGACTCTGCGAGGCGGGGACAAGCCATGGGTTGTTCGGTATCGAGTTTTGGAAGGGGAATGTAGTAAGGAGGTCCTTTTTGTTGTTGTACTCCTGGAGAGCCTTGAAGGACTCGTTAAACGATGGAGAGATAAGAGATATCAGGGTTAATAATGAGTGTGCGCTGTAATTCTTGGGAGCAGGCCGGGGGAAAGGATCGAATTTCGAGTTGGAGCACTTGTTCACGTAGAATCCAGAGACATGGGATGTAATCTGGTGCTGTTCGCCTTCGTTTGTGGTCACCAACAGGTACAGGAGGTGTCCCTTTTGGCGGAGATGGTATGGCGGAGGGTTCCACGGGGAAAGAGACACAGATCTGACGGTCTTTGGTACGGCGGACTGGTCCTTTGGAAGAACAGTTGCCAGGTCCAAAGGAGCATTGACATCATAACCATCAAGTGCATGAGTCTTCTTAGCCTCTTCAGGAAGTCCTTCGCCAGCAGCAACAGAGTCATATAAAGACAGGCCAGCGGAAAGGCCATGCAATGTATCAACACGGTTACCGGCAGCACCGATCAGCTCTCTGATTCTAACAACGTGCATCCTGGCCTCCTTCTCGGTATAGGGATCTTCGATCAGGACGACTTCGGAGTCGGCTTTGAGGCCCTTTACCTCGGATAGCTCGACATAATCATTGATTCGGTTTCCCTCAGTCTCCAGGTGGAAGCAGGTGTACTGGAAAGTACCTGGCAGTTCGACAATTGATTGGCGAACATCCTGAACTTGCTCTTGGCTGGATACCTGCAATTGACCGTTAGGTAAACCACTGAAGGAATATATATATACTGAGACAAGGATGGGCCTACCATAACCTGAATGCTGTGTGGCTCGTGAGGGAGCTTTACGCTGATCTGGAAAAGACCTAAAATGTGCACACGACCATAAACAGAGAGCCCTTTCTACAGACATTGATAGCCCTGCTTAAGAGAAACAAACAGCCCTACCTCCAGCATTGTTGTTATCATCCTGTTCCCCTTCTGTCTTGTTGCCGTTTGCAAGCTTCTGGCTGGTATTTTCAGGCTTGGTATCTTCTAGCACTTCTATAGCAAGATGTAGAAAAAAAAAATTAGAATCAGCTTCCAAATTGCACAACCACACAGCCATCATGCTGTACACCCGCCATTGAAGCAACAAGCAAGGCCAATGGCAATTCTCACGGCATGTCTCGTACCTTTTGAGTGTTCTGGGCCTTTACTTTGCTGGTCCATCTCGAAGAAAGAGCCGAGTGTACAAATTTCACAGATGTACACAACCCGAGCTTAAGAAGGTAGCCAAAGAACCCGCCTTTGCCTTTTGAATGAGCGACTCGAAGAGAGAAAGGGAAAAGGTATGAAATTATACAATATACAGCGCACCGAAACGAAAGGGAAGATCCCAAGAGGAGAGTTGAAAAGGCGCTTTTCTCGACTGCTGCAGTTTTTCTTCTGGGCCCGGCGGTTTCTTCCAGTTGGGACTTCTGGAGAGGAAATTTCACGGAGGCGGATTTTCTGCTCGGAAGGAAACGGGATTCTCTCGGTGAAGCTTAAACTCTGGTTCGATATCCAGTCGAACGTCGTGGGGCCGGCAGTGCAGGGCCGATCACAAGACCATTGTTCTCTTTCTATATACCAGAGCCGGCGAACGTTGAGGCGTGGAGGTTGGTGTTTGTTTGGCGGTGCGTCTGTTGTGGGAGTCGTTAATCAGCTAACTAGCGAGAGCCAGGAGTCGCCCAGTTAGTTATATATAACCATCTGGCTGTATGCCTGGCCGGCCTCCTCTCAGGACTGCGCGCGCGCTCAAGGGCCGGGCCTCCGCTTCCGAATCATATCAATATCTGTCCTCTTCTTTCCCCAGCTTTGCCAATCGGGGACTCAAAAACAGGCGCTCAGAGGTGGGAGCTGATCCCGGCAAGCGGTTCTGCAGCAAGGGCAGCGGCAGGATAGATACGAGCTGCTAATTGCGTGCCTATCACTTGCCCTGCCATGCATGCCCTTACCCCATAAAAGCACCCTGATTAACAAAGACGAAACTCGCCCATAGCGTGTCTGCTCGACGTTATTCGCTGTCTTGCAGCCGCTGGTAGGCGAGCCGACACAAACTAACTACATGGCATGTCATGGTCCTGCGAGCGCGAGACATCCCGGATCCCTGGCTGGTTACCTTCGTTTCGCTTAAGCGGAAAGACAGGAATAGAGACCCTATTAGATAGGTAGGTAACTGCATGAAGGTGTGCCAGGACCTAGAGAGGATAGAGGTAATATAGGCCTTCCTGATGAAGTTGGACTTCTTAGATACCAATATAAGGATAGATAAGGGCTTTACTGTGGCTGTAAAGCTCCAGATATCAGAGACAATCACATTCAGGGGCCTTGCTCCCCTATTCTAGAGGTATTAAAGAGCCAAAGCCCCTACAGAGGCACAGGTATCTTTTATAACTCTACAGGGATAGACCCAACACCAATCCAGAAAGACACCACCAACCTGCCTGTATAGACAGACCCATTAGTTTAAGGACTACTAGTACCTTATACTATCCCGGAGACCTACAAGCTAGCAAGAGGACCCAGAGATTAGGACGCAGATAGAGGCTACTCTCCTAGACTCTCTAAAGCTTCAAAAGGTAGTAAAAAGAGTGCAGGAAGAGGAGGCTCGGAAGGAGTAAAAAGAGAAAGCTCAGAAGGAGCAAAATAAGTCATTTTTTGCAGAGAGCAAAGGGGCCAACAGCAGTTACTTTCTAGGGTATTAGGACTACTACACTACAAGACTACGAATATTACCTATTTAGGAAGTATCTACGACTTCAATTCGGCTTCATTTGAGCATCTTTTTACAGCTCTGTTGGCTCCTAATCCATCATAGCTGGGTCAGTTTTGGTATTGGTCATCTTATCTCGCTGACTAAGTTACACCTTGCTTAACTAACTAACTAGCACATTCGATAGAGCTCAATATTATCATCATCCTCCTTTCTGATACTAGTCAACCCTTCTATCTCGACATTTTGGACAAGCTTGCCAATCTGTTGGGGGTTCCAATATTCCCCTAGAGAGGGTCACCCTTCAGAACTTCATCCAATACTCTCAACGGTTGAAGTCCATATACCCAGGTTTTTGTTTGCAGAAGAGAAAATCCGGCCAATCAATAAAGCTTGCGCTCGAACGACTGGATAGTCCTCAGTGACTCTTTGCAGGAAACCTTAAGCTCTCATTAACTACAGAGTTGACATCATTGACTGCATCATCCGACTACCTACAACTCTTTGCGGCGAATGTTTCCTTTTCGCTATAAAAGGCCATTTTCCCTCCTAAATAAATCTTTCATTTCCCACAACTACTCCTACCCAACCCTCAACTGCTCAGCTTACCTTCTGGGTATTTCGCCGTAACTGACGCCGAGATAACACTTTAATCCAGCGCAGCATGGCTACACGGTTTCTCATTCTTTCCGACACCCATGCTACCGACTATCATCCTCCAGAGCAGCATGCGGATGTTGCTCTGCACTGTGGCGATCTTACTCAAGAGTCCAAGATCGACGAATTCCGGGCCACAATAGAGCTCCTTAAGGCCATAAATGCTCCTTTAAAACTTATTATCGCTGGTAACCACGATTTTACTCTCGACGTGCCGATGTTCAGACAAAAAGTTGCGGAGATACCCGGGCCAGCTGATGCTGAACTAGTGAAAAAGATATACGGAGACTATGGAGAGGCAAAGAGGCTCTTCGACGAAGCAAGGGACCATGGCATCATGCTACTCGACGAAGGCTTGTACACCTTTGATCTCGCAAATGGGGCGTCACTGACAATATATGCTAGCCCGTTTACACCCTCCGAGGGCGACTGGGGATTCCAATATTCCCCCAAAGAAGGCCACAGCTTTGACTTCAAGGACGGCGTCGATATTGTTATGACCCACGGGCCTCCACACGGGGTGATGGACCGGCCCTATTCCTCCTCGAGAGTTGGATGCCCCGACTTATTTAAATCTGTCTTTCGAACAAGGCCAAAGCTACATTGCTTTGGACACATACATGAAGAATGGGGTGCGAGGCTGGTTACCTGGCGCGAGAACGACACCTCGGAGGCATCACATTTGACCGTCATCGAAAACGATCCTGACAAATCTCCTGTGATAACTAACTTGTCAAGATTGGGCGGATCAAAACATGATGAACCAGAAGTCAGAGAAGCCAAGCTGGAAAAACTGAAAACTTCGCAAAAGGAGGGATGTTACTCAACCAGATGCTTTGCGGAACCGGGAGCTCAAACTCTCTTCATCAATGCATCTATAAAGGGAGACGCGGATCAGGACCAGTGCTTTCATCTCCCTTGGCTAGTAGACATCGACTTACCAAAGCCCACTTGAATACGTCGAAAATAAAACTACTTCAGTGACCGGGTCGAGTATATTTGGCAATGATAGACCCTCTGAATCCCTCCCCGCTTTTCTGCTCCACTTCTTGTATATATTATCGAAGTGCTATATAAATATATAAACTTGCTGACTTTTTGGTATGTTGCAGGAAGAGATTTGATCGAAGTCAACCTAGCATGCTTTAGTCGAATTAAGAACGTAGTTTCCTGAATAATCGAGTAAGAAGGAACGGTGGGTGACTGTTCTATACAAAATTCATATAACATATGGCTTCTTTCTATTTTCTAGGGTCTGGCAGCAGTATACATACAGCCAGTGAGTGCTTAATATACCAGCAGATTTGCCTTGCGTGAAATAGCTAATAACTTAATATTATAGGGTTATTAAGAGGATTATTTTGGAAAGGTATGTCAATCAGGGATATTATTGATACGATACCATATACTCATGTAGTTATAGACATTGGAACTCCGCTGCTTTCACTTGATTTTTGAGTAATGTCGAAACTCATCCCCATCGCTGCACCACTTCGTGAAGCACTTTTTGAGTGCTTCCGCGCAACTACTTGCCTAGTCCGTCCAGAACTTCGACGCCAACTAACTTTAGTTGGAGGAGCCACGAGCGTAGCTCATTTCTCAGTATTATATACTGAAGATATAGATATTGCTTCCACCTCAGAGCCAATTATTGATGTTTTGAGCAGTATTCTGGCCGGTGCTCCCGGGTTCACCATTGAACCCGATATGAAGATAGCGTTCGACACTAGCAAAGGCATTCGAATAAGAGTAGATCTCATTGAGATCGGAGAGGGTTGTATCGAACGAATTCATGCAACCCGGCCCTTTTTTGAAGGCTCAGTAGCGTCCATCTCAGACCTTCTCAGGCTGAGAGCTGTCACGGTGGTCGATCGCGGAAGTGATGGAGAGATTGAAGATTTTCGTTGGCTGTTGTCGGAAGCAGCCAAAGCGGGAGAGATTCCCCCAGAGCTAGACAGCCTAGAACAAGAATGCATTTTAGGCGCCGGCGAGGCATCTCTTGGCCTTTTGGACCGTCTCTTGCTGTTGGCTGTCTTGAGTGGAAAGAACGCGGCAGCAATGTTACTCAATGATCCTAGACATAGGTATTTTTAATTATTATTATCATGTTCTTTGCAAAAGAAAGAAAGCCATCTGCTCAAAAATAGTAAAGGAAGAAAATGATCTAAAGAGTGAAAGTAAAGAAAAAAGGATGCACCGGCGTATAGTACAGACAAGGGGGGGGGGGGGAATGTCTAGTCATCATCCTCTTGCTTCTCGGGTTTAACCACGCCAATCTCCAAGGTACCGGTTTCACGGCCCTTAGTATCACGCATAGTTGCTTTGAATTTACCCTCATTCCAGAAGTCCTTGACAGTAATTTCTCGGGTCCTGCCCAAACTTTCGATGGCCGAAATCCTGTCCAAAGTGTCCTCAAGGTACTGGTCGAAGCCTGGTTCGGAACATATCTCACGGAATGCGTTTTGCATCGGCACAGAGTCAGCTCGAACCCTTGCCTTGGAGTCGATGGTAAAGATATTGTCATGGTCATAAGATTGGATGAAGTCTGCGCGTGTCATGATCTGGCGTGCCTTATGGAGCGGTAGCTCTGGTAAGATATGCCCGTTTTCGTCGTCATATGTTTTCTCCATGTCCTTCTCGAGGTCTACCAGAGCCTTTGCTAGCACCATTGCTGCAGACTATTGATTTAACGGCGAGTTAGTAGCGCTCATTATACGCAAGGTATTGGGTACTGATAAGCGAAGAAGACACTTACAGAATATTTTTGTTCGTCCATCACATCATCATCCATCTCCTCGCCGAGAATCCAACATTTGTTCAAAAACCAGGTTTTCTCAGCTTCACAGATTTCGTTGCAGGTTGCTATCATATCCTCGGATTTGGCTACGCGGTTTAAGAAGGTCAACCTCCCACCAACCTTGTTGTATACTTCCTCTAAGATGCTCTGTGGTGGGTTTTCCTTGAAGTATCTGGATCTATACCTGCGGAGTGCACCTAGTGCCTTACCCTTCGGCAGGTCTGGGATGGGGATGACCTCCATTCTGGAAGCATACCTTTTTAGGCGCTCGTAGATCCAGTAATCATCGCTGTTGAACACTATTATACTTATTAGCGAAGACTTCTTGGATCAGATATGTAATCCGGTAGGGAACTAACCCATAGTCACTAGACCACTGGCGGCCCATTGCTCTGCGCGCTGCTGAAGCATCTCAAGGAGGTCCCTGCCATCATCGTCATCTCTCACCAAATGCAGGGAGTTAATGATCAAAATCAGGGGATTCTGGTTGACGTTCCGGCGCTTGATAGCGACTTTCTCTAATTTGTTCAGGGCACGTTCAATGTCCAATAGGGCAGTGGTATCACGGGGCCCTCTGATGCTGAAAAGACTACCAATATAGCTGCAAAAATGGAGAATTATGAATTAGCATCTGAGGCATTGTAGCCCGTGTATAGTATTGCCGTTCTATACATACTCTTCGTGGAACTCATAGTCCAGTGACTTTCCCAGTCGTATTCGGAAGATCTCGAGGTTGGCATGGGCTTCGAACATTGCAACGCGACTGCCATCGACTTTCCTCATTGCATTGAGGATCATGGAGGTTTTCCCAGTGCCCTTCTCACCAATAAGGAGGTAATAATGGCCAATGGCACCGTTTATAATCTCATCAATTCTACCTTGCTCGTCACGCTCGAGCCAGTGGTCAGGGTCCTTCTCCATATCCTTGCTTCCCTTGGGATCTTGCTTGGGGTCCTTAACACCAGCCAGCTCTAACATTGGATCACCAGGTTCAAAGGCATTGTCCATCTTCTTCAGGACCAAATGCTTATAATACTTGTGGTAAGAATAGCCTGCAGCACTTTAACCAAAGAGAAACAAAATATGTATATAATTTCGAAGTTAGAAGTGGAAACCCCTTAGATTCAGTCTGCTATATCTTACATTGAGCCAAACACCGGGGATGACATACCCAAGGACAGCAATAGAGGCAAACGTAGTTGCTGACGATTCAAACATCCGCAGCAGCGTTGCTTTTAATGAGTTATCTTGCTGATTGGACGACTTCTCTCGAGAGGACTCATCTGGATCAGGACCCTCTTTCCCTGGCTGTGGCGGGCCTCCAGGAGCAACGTCTTGCGATCCATAGTGCCGACGAAGCTGCGAGAGTGTGGCATATCGTGGCCTTACAGCTCCCCTAAGACCAAGCCCGGCTGCCGCATTATATGTCCGGATAAAGCGCATCACAGAATGATTTTGCATCAACCGATAAGGCCGGTCGAGCTTTTAATCTTCCGAGAACTGCGAGGCCGGTCTTTTGGATCTGTTTTGTCCAACAGTGCCAGCTCGCTGTTTATATTATTGTTTTCAGGGGTAGGTTCGGGCTCCGGATAAAGGGCGGTTCAGGCCCAGCCAAACAGATGGAGCGCGAATAGGGATTGTTTCCCCAGGAGATCAATGAAAAGACATAGACAAGTTCAGATGAGCCACACTCATGATATGTACGGAGTATGTATGAACGACCTGTCGGCGGAGACGATCCCAAGTGAAATCAGGTCGCATCTGACAGCGAGCTGAAAATTCTTGAAATCTCAAACGTTTCTTTTTCGCGATCTCGACTTGTCGCTTTCTTAGTAACTAGCTGGCTCTCGGGATGTCACGTGGAGCCGTTTCTTGGAAGTTTTCTCTTGGTCTTTTTCATAGATGTCGCGGAGGACGGATGGCCAGTCGACAGTATTGTTATTTGATAAAAGGGCTTCAAGGAATGGAAGAGGCAGTCAATATACGAACGACACCCTTATGGCCGTGTTCTACTTTCAAGCCGGAGATGGGTTCTGGAAGAGCTAACTAGGACCAGGAATTGGCAAATATTTGTCCTAACTATGCTCCGAATGTCTATGGAGGTAACTCGAGAACCTCTTCTATGTTGGCCCTGCAAGCAGATCTCTGCTGAAGTGTCCCATTGTATAAGTACACCGAAAACACAGGTAGAGGGCTGCTGTCTTTCTCAAGTCTGCGTTTAGTGCTATTCTATGCCAGCGTGGGTTTGATATAGCTTTATCACTGGAACTGCTAAACTCATTATTTACGATCTCCATATTCAATGCTGCTGAGCAGAGATCTCTTAGCATCCGTTTAAGAATGCAGTCAGTAATGCTGAAATCAGAGAGTCCATTTTGTTTCGTTTGCTTCTTTATCGGCAGACGTCTTCTATGCTGCCTGCTTTTATCAAGTTCCTGTATCTTTTCACTGCTTGGACGGCCCTATCTTCTATTATAGGGTAAAGCCGATCCTGGAGCTTTCTTAGTATGTTGATTAGTATAGAATAAGAAGCAATATCTTCTACAAGGTCTTTATCTATAGTGCTAAGGACCTGGAGTCGAAAAGAAGCGAGTTCCTTCATTACTTACTGATAGATAGTGAACTACCTTAGGTAGTTACTACATAGCCTTGTCTACCTCTAGTATTCCCTCTTATCCAGGTTAAACTCAGTTACCTCTTCTGCAGGGACTGGTTCAGGTCCTGTAGGGGGTAACCTCCTAGTTACTACCCTCCCTGGTCTGAGAGTATCATAAGATATAGGGCTCTTAGGCATCTCTAGTGTTTTGGCACTTATCTGTAAGTCTACAACCTCCCTTATACCCTGGGCTTGAGCTATACCTATTATTATCCTATACTAGACCTCCTAATCCCATATATCCTTAAGCATTATCCTTGCTGTTATGTTGGTTTAGGTCCTGGTTAAGTAGATATTCTCGCCTATTACGTTGGCACTGGATTAACTCCTACACTTCTGTCGCGAGCGGAAGAGGTTAGCAAAGAGCCCAAAATAACGTAGGGATGGACTTAATTATCTGTTAAATCTCTGCTTACGAAGAACTGGTGTTAGCCAGGCTCATAACTATCAGAAAGGAGGATGATAATAATATTGAGCTCTATCGAATGTGCTAAACAGGGTGTAGCGAGATAAGATGACTAGTTAATACAAAAGGCGACAACTAGTTAGTGTAAAATAAGGTACTAGGAAAACAGTTAGCTGATAGCGCCAAAATTTATTATGTTTGCTTTCTTAGAGATATCGACCAAATAGGAGGACGCTCCTCTGTATTTTGCTGCGCTGTAAATCAGCTTGTTTGAGGCGTGATATAATAAAGTAGAGCCTTGATGAGCTTGAAGATGTGTGAATAGCTGGGAAGCTGACTAAGTGGGACTGCAATCACGTGACAGTATGACATCATCACTCCGGACCTCCTGCTTCCAACTCGCTGGCTAACTAGTTAACTAGCGGAAGCTGGAAATCAAAACACAAAAACAAGCCAAGCGCGAGCGAGCTTGCGACATGCATTTGTCCCAGATATCCAACCTACCGCAGGCATATCAGGACAACCACTCGCATTTATCTGATATTGAATTGAAGAACAAGCCAGCTACTGTATACCTGCACAGCTCCTAGTACTCAGTCGCAACGCCCCAATGGGCCCAAGATCAGCTTCTACCGCCTCGCCTGGCAAGAGAGGGAGACCTTCTACCAAGGCTGGCACCGCCACTGGCACGAAGGTATCAGTCGAGGTACCAATTCCCAAAGGTGCTGTCGCAAGGGAGACATCGTCATTTAGCTTGGAGAGCGTGCTGCATTTTGCGCTTTTGGCTGGCAGTAGCTTGCTGCTGAGCACGGCGCTCTTCTCTCTCAGCGTCCCGATAACAAAGGGGGACTTGGCATGGACGAGCAAGCGCTTAGACTCTTGGAGGGATGTCATGGTGCTCCTCGCATGGCGGGTTATTGAGCTGGCGGTACCTTGGTTTTCGGGATATGACGGTTTGAAAAAGGCCCTGGATCTTTTATCACCGACTGACCTAATGCTAACTATGGCCACTAGCTTGGGATGCGTTATGTTTTATCGGCCTCGTTCACCTTCCGGCATATTCTCTCCTGCTCAACTTTTATAACATTCGGCCAACGACGATAATCGCTGTTGCGACCTTTACCATTCTATCGAGCACGATTCCGTTTTCTTACTTCCGTCCGCTGGGTCCAGCGCATAGTGGCAGCCCGGCTGTCAACCGTGCCATTCTTGCGGATGGTCTCACTACAGCTTACATCACTGTGGCTTCCACCCTTGTATACACCACGTTTATATACCTCAGCTTTGTGACATGGCTTCCAACTCATCTTGTCACATATTTTAATGGGCTCCCTGATATCACTGCCGCTCATGCCGGGCCAAAGGGATTTGTGTCGCTTTTTCTTAGTCTTTTGCCTGCAGGATACGGAGCGAGAGATCTTTTATTCGTCACATCTGCTAGCCAGCCACCAGAAAAGAAAACCGAGCCAAAAACGACACGTCGACGACTTCGGTCATCGGATTCGCGAAACGAGGAGGAAGAGCAACGAGAAGAGTCCTGCATTGCTTCACTTTATAAGAAGGCCTGGCTTGGGCTATCTCCTGCTTCAAGGACACTTATATCACGGTCACTAGCTTTGGCCCTTATGACTCTAGCCAACACCTTCGTGCAATTAGCAGGTACAATCAGCGGGGTAGAGCCTAAGGGAGCCTTGGGATGGGGTTCGATTTGGTCACTTGCCACACTAGTCAACGCTTTCTTTTATTGCTGGGTTCAAGAAGCAAGCGGTGTATGAAGAGACAGAGGAAGAGTGACAAAGTTGACGGCAGTGTCAACTTATCTGATTATGAAGGTTTAGTGCCTTTTCTATGTCTTACGAGGATTTCTTTTTTCTGCTACTTTTTAACGACACCTCAATGGTTATGAGTGAGGTTAAGGGACATGGGGGTTGTGTAAAGGGAAAGGGAATCCGAATTGTTTGGTGTTTCCTGTTAGGGATTGATATTGGGGGAGGCAAAGAGGGCGGGCGAATATTCAATATTCCCCGCTTCCTTTAGTGGAACAGCAGCGATATTATAGGGGTTTTTCCTAGGCATACGTCCATCGGGGATTCGTATGTCTCTTGAGGATGGATGCTTTTATGTAGATGTGATACGCGAATTGTTAGTTATGGTCTATTTTACAATACGATAATCAATAATGTCTCATTAGTTACCACAGTACGAAGAAATATCCCATCCTTTCTCTCTCCCCCAATAATAACGTGGTACTGTTTTCACAGCTACTCCCTGGCTATAGAATAATACGATATAATTATGATAACCAAATCCAGAGCTTGGAGGATTCTCTCCATCTGGATGCGGCTTCACAGCGCGACTTCTCATTGGTGTAGGGGTATTACCTAACTAATTTTAAGTCACGTGATTACTTACATAATCTCTTCTGCGGGCGAGGGGAGCTTTAGACAGGATTGGAAAGTCTTTTGGATCTTAATACGCAACAACATCCGGTGGGATAAGACAGCTAATCATGTCTAGCGAGGTCACGCTCAGTGTCGTTGACAGTATGTATCCAGCGCGAGGCCGACATGTCTTCTGAAACCTGATATGAACTAACCACTGCTGCAGACGACCTGAAAGACGTAATTCAAAACTTCTTTGAGATTCAGTCGGCGGTCCATGGATATCTCGGACCAGAAACACAGCATGAGCTCGTTAGGAAATTGTCAGTTACCCGTTCATATCTGCATACTGTATTCCATGGATTATTTTGTCATCGATTACTGATATTTGTCCACATGTTTAGAAAGTCTCTTACCATATCCCTTAAAACACTATCTGATCATACTACCCTGGATCCAGCCCATGCAGATGCTGCATCGAAACAACCCAACTCCAACCCTGCGCTGCCACAAACGGATCCGCCACTGCACACCATTCAGCTACCGCCAGAGATCATTGACTACGTAGATGCAGCGCGTAACCCAGACATATACACGCGAGAATTCGTTGAGTTGGTTCAAAAAGGAAACCAGGATTTAAAAGGAAAAGCTGAAGCTTTCTCTTCTTTCAGAGACACTCTTGCACGGGAGATGGCTAGCGCAATGCCCGAGTGCAAAAAGGAGGTGATACGGGTTGTTAAAGCGACCGGCGGCGATGCCCAACAACTATAGCCCTTTTTTTCTCTATTCTAAGGCTGGCGTTTTAATACTAGGCCAGGGTTAGAACGGTATAGTAGCCTACGGATTTATGGAGTCAGGAGTTATGGGGTGTATCTGCTTCCCGTCTGGGGGATCCGAGTGTCAATTAACAGAACAGGACCAAATGGATAATTTTCCCACACTTCTCTTCCTGGTTTTCTCCTTCCTCATCCTGGCCACCCTGGAACTGCACGTATCAAATCAAACATGCGCATTGAAAGTCAGGGACACAACACATGGCAGCTGGTGTACAGATACAACCAAATGACGCCCCTTTTAACCATGGGAATCTGCCAAGGCCAGGTGAAAACATCCAAAAATAGTGAAATGCCCCGTTGCCCACCGCCATAGCATGCTCCTTTAACCACGGATCTGATTGACACTGAACCCGAGTCGTGGGCGCACCACGATGTGGGGAAGCATTTTGTGGTTTGATCATCCGAGAACTGGATGGGCCAATCGTTACGGCCCGTCAAGATGGCAAAGCGTGCAAATAGGCAAAAGAAAAAGCACTTCCGCCTCCTTAACGAAATGTAAGCAGTAGCCATTCCCGGCACTTACAATCATATGCTGTTACTGATGGAGTTTAACAGGACCGCGAAAAAAAAAAGATCCCAGAATTGGAACTATACGTTTCCGGAAATAATAAGAAACCAGGCGCCCATATGTGTCGATCTTTTAGGCATGCATGTCAGCCAGGCTTTGACTTTATATATAATATACGGCACCTCTGGGGCTGAATACGTAGCAAGGCTGAGTTTCATGAAGGCACCTTAAAAGACATGCCAGACCTTTGGATCATATGTGAATTTCCATCTCGCCTTGGTCGTACCGTACAACCCAAATGAAATCGCCCAAGCTTTGCTTCGTATATGGTACTGGCTCACCGTTTGCCCCACATGACGGTCCGCTCTGTCTCGACCGTTTTCTCAATATAAATTTGGACAGCCCGTTGACGGACTTACTTGACAGTCTCCTTGCCTTTGTGCAAAGAATTCTTACTACTAGACAGCTGATCCGTTGTCGTCATCGAGACCCAATGCAATCTTCGTTCTGTGCTTTATGACATCCCTTCCGGCAAGACACCACGATCATGTCGGAAGATGATGGGCTGACGGGAGCCTACAAGGGGGCTAATTTCGCAATCAAGATAGTAATTGGGGTGTTTATTGGAATCTCCTGGTACAATGCACTGGAACTATGTGTTCTGGTCTTTGTCACGTTCAGCCATTATAGAGGCCTTTACTTCTGGAGCCTCTTGATATCAGCGACTGTTGGCGTCATGCCATATGCACTCGGTTTCCTGCTAAAGCTCTACAACTTGATGGACAATGTCTGGCTGTCTCTTGTTTTTCTTACAGTTGGCTGGTGGACCATGGTTACTGGCCAGTCCTTTGTCCTCTACTCCCGGCTTCACCTCGTCATTCGCGACCAAAAAATCCTACGCCGCGTTTTATGGATGATGATTTGCAATATTTTCATCTTACACTTACCTACAACCATCCTTACATTCGGTTCGAACTCGAGTCACCAAAAGAGTTTTGTTCCAGCATACAAAATTATGGAAAAGATACAGATGACCGGCTTTTTTATTCAAGAGGTCATCCTCTCTACCCTCTATATATTGGAAACGATGAAGATGCTACGGATAGCACCCAAGCATGGAAACCGGAAGATTATGTATCAGCTTCTCGGTATCAATCTTATCTTCATTATCATGGATCTCGCACTCCTCGGCACGGCTTATGCCAACCTATATGTTATCGAAACAACAATCAAGGCCTTAATATACAGTGTTAAGCTGAAGCTTGAATTTGCTGTTTTGGGCAAGCTTGTCCACTTGGTCAACATACACTCCTGGAACCCGGAGTTTTTCAGCGGATCAAATGGCTACCCAGATTTTGTGGACCCAACGCAGATAACAACAGACATTACTCGGCCACCTCAATGCATCAACAGTCCTCCCAGGCCACCGTGGTCATTCCCAGACACTCTGCCAATTACTTCGAATCTGCAATTTTGCGGAAAAGCAGACGTGGCGCCGTCGAGCAGCGGCAGTTTGGCTACGACACATATTGCTCCATGCACCTCCAACGGGGTTCCAGTACCGACACCAGTTGATGTTACACATGCCACACCCTCCCAGGTTATATCACCCAATAACCTTCCCAAATGGCCGAGTTAAAAGGAAAGAGGATTTCGCTGTTGCAGTCTCAGCCTATCCACAACACACCACCCTTTCCTGTTGCCCAGGCTGAAGAAGATGAGATCCCAAAGGATTCTGAAACCCCGGACCCGGCTTATCACACGGTGGAAAAGGAACGTTAAACGAGCTCCTGAAGGATGCGAGGTTGTATATATCAGCTCAACTATCGGGGGGGACCAGAAGCTGGCCGATGCGTGTGGCTGAGGAATAAGGCTCTTGCACTTCCCTGTGCGCGAAGTACGGAGTACTCGAATGTCTATTCAAGGCAGCAGTATCTCGTATAATAGCCGCCTGCCCTCGAAGTATGGCTTTTTGTGTGACATGAGCCGGGAAAGGACTTCGCATTTACATCTTACACGTTGTCTGCCAGGCAGATCTCCGGCTTCATGCACGATTTACGACGAACAACGAGATAGAAATGGACATTACACTCCTTCCACCTGATGGAAACTGTATATAGATTATGTCACATCACTGCTTATCCTCCTTCTTCTTTCTTGTACCTAATAACATGTCCATCGAGTGAATATTTAGCTGTTTCTAAGCCTAAAAAGCCTAAATACCTTAGAAAAAGCTACTTGTGAAGCTGCGGCGGAAGCTATGCGATGACTAAGCCGGTCCCCGCCCTTCCCGTCCTGCTTGCTTTTATGCGCGCTGCAATTTTGAGACATCGCGAACTTCGACTTCACGAACTTCACCCTGACTCCTTGTCGGAGCTGGAAATGGGCGGAGGGATACTGCTGTCCAATGATCGCTGGATGCTAACCTTTGCTCAAACGAATAACAGCATCTAGCTCGCCACCATGGTTTCCTCGCGACGCGGATTCAACCCGATAGCTTTCACCCCCTGGCCGGTGACGATACTCTCCTCGTTGGTGTACCTCGCCCTGATAATCCCAATCATCGTTGTCCACCATCTGGTTCCTCCCGCGCCAAAGGAAAGCCCTGCAGGTGTAGATCTAGAGGAAGCCTGGCACGATCTCCAACACCTGACTCGGCAGTATCACCCTTACAACAGCCACTCAAACGATGAAGTGCACCAGTGGCTCCTTAAGCGTATCCACGCTATCTCTGCAACCTCGGCTCGCTCAGAATCCCAATCGAGCCCAGAAGTCTTTGTTTTCGATGATAACCAAACAAATTTAACGTTCTCCAGCGCTGGCGTTGCTGCCACAGCCATTACCGGCGTATACTTTGAAAGCAGAAATATCGTGGTCTACATTCGCGGCACGGAAGACGAGCCGAGGGAATGGTGGAAATCTCCCGATGGTGAACCGTCAGGAAGAGGTGGAGTGCTTGTAAATGCACACTATGATAGCGTTTCTACCGGTTACGGAGCGACGGATAACGGAGTTGGTGTGATTACGACATTGCAATTACTCAAATATTTCACCACACCAGGACACTATCCTCGGAAGGGCCTGGTGCTGCTGTTCAACAATGGAGAGGAGGATTTCCTGAATGGCGCGTATGCATACAGCCAGCACCCAATGTCTAAATTCACGCATACGTTTCTGAATCTCGAAGGTGCCGGTGCAGGAGGCCGCGCTGTCCTGTTCCGTAGCACAGACACAGAGGTTACGAGATTCTATGGAAAATCGGAACATCCCTTTGGCACAGTCCTTGCGAGAGACGCTTTCAAACTGAAATTTATCCGCAGTGAAACCGATTACCACGTCTTTGATGGCGTCTTTGGCATGCGTGGGCTCGATGTTGCATTCATGGAGCCCAGAAGCAGATATCACACAGACCAAGATGATGCTAGGCATACTAGTATTGATTCCGTTTGGCACATGCTTTCAGCGGCCATTACAACCACTGAAGGGTTGGTCAGTTACACCGGAGATGCTTTCGACGGTGATAGCGGAGATGGTGGGAAACTCAACAACGGCATCGGTACCTTGGGGGTTTGGTTTGACTTCTTCGGTTCGTCCTTTGCAGTCTTCCAGCTCAATACTCTCTTTGGGCACTCGGTGGCCCTCTTGGTCGTCGCCCCTCTTCTACTCATCATCACGTCTGTTGCACTCTTCGCAGTTGACAAAATGTACATGTTCTCCATGTATACGTACATATCGGAATCAGGTGGTCAAGTATCGCTCTATGGCTTACGAGGGATGTTCCGTTTCCCCCTGATCCTTGGTATTAGCACTGCTCTAACCATTGCTCTGTCATTCCTAATAATGAAGGTCAATCCTTTTATTATATACAGCAGCCCGTATGCAGTTTGGAGTATGATGTTGTCCACTTGCATGTTCTTTGCATGGTTTATCTCCTGTGTTGCAGACTTTGCCAGACCATCCGCGCTACACAGAGCATATTCATTTTCTTGGATGTTTGGCATTATGTGGGTTTTCCTTGTGATAGCCACCGTTTATCAGAAACAGCACGGCATAGCAAGTAGCTACTTTATTGTATTCTACTTTGCCGGAGTAGCTGTGGCAACGTGGATCTCATATTTGGAACTTTTTGGTCTGCCAAAAACACAGGATTATGCTCGTCGGCAGGGCAGCCTTTCTGATCGAACACCTAGTTCCGACAGTCACTTTCTCGCTCCATCTGCAGATGAACTTCCATCCAGCAGCAGTGCGGCAGGCCGAGATTTTAACCCAGAAGATATTGAGGACGAGGAGCCTACAGAATCCACATCTCTCCTTCGGGGACAGCAGAGAACTACATTTGCTAACTATGCCAGTGCTAGAGGCAGCCAGGAGAGCAATATATCCAACCAGGGCAACAATTCGTTACACCCTAAGGACCACCGACTAGAACAAAAATGGAGTATCTACCTGATGTCATCGGCTTGGATATTGCAATTCCTTCTCGTTGCACCTATTGTCATTATTCTTCTTGGCCAGCTGGGACTTTTCCTAACATCTGCAACATACCAAATCGGTGCCGATGGAGGTTCACAGCTCGTTATATACATCGGTATCGCTGTCTTATCTGTTCTCATCCTCTTACCACTTTTCCCTTTCATCCACCGATTCACCTATCATATCCCAACATTCCTGTTGTTCATCCTCATTGGAACCCTGGTGTACAACCTAACAGCGTTCCCATTCTCTCACAGCAACAGATTGAAACTTGCATTCGCCCAGGAAATGGACCTAGCTACCGGGAACAACCAAGCGTCTCTTGTTGGCGTAGAACCATATATCCATGATGCCGTTCACGCCATCCCATCCGTACAAGACGGGAAACTCTCCTGTACCTCCCATGGCTACGGAGGCAGAACCAAATGTTCCTGGCCTGGGCTCAAGCCAAAAGTAGCAGAAGGCCCCTACAAGGATTGGGTCAGCTACAATATCTCTAAAACTAAAGATGACAAAATCACCCGCTTTGAGATTTCTGGCAAGAATACCAGGGCATGCAAACTGCTCTTCGATAGTCCCATTGCTGATTTCCACGTACAAGGATCTGTTGTTGACAAACGTATACCCCACACCGGGCCAAAAGGTGTTTCTGAAATTCGGCTCTGGAGTCGAAACTGGGAGAACACCTGGACAGTTGATGTGGAATGGGCTAAGAAGAATTCTGAACGCACAGGCAAGGTGATGTGTTTGTGGAGCGATGACAATGATCTTCATGTCATACCTGAGTTGGATTTAGTTCGCAAGTTTGCCCCTTGGTGGGTTGCAATTACGAAGCTGAGGGATGGTCTCGTTGAAGGAAGTTATTCATTTAAGCTATAGTATTGGCCGAGTCCTCTGCAATCTGCAGCCATGATTTTCTTCCGCCTTTGTAACAGGTACAGTTATTTTATCTTTGATACTGCGTTTCTTTGGGCAATTGTTTCAGCAAGGCCTTCTTTCCGGTATTTCCGTGATTTCGCTTGACGTGATATTCCATTATTCGTTTTAGGCAAGTTCATTTTACTTATTTGCATACTACAAAGAACAATATACAAGTCCCCAAGGACCTACGAATTCAATATACTTCTTGGCATGCAGATTTCTGTAAGAAAATGGGGATAATAATGTTTGATTTCTATTCTGCAATGGGGTAGGTAGCTAGGTACGTTGAGATATTATCGGCCCATGCATAGCGCTGTCTACCGGGGAGGGTAAGAAAACAACAAAGTAAAAATAAAAGAAAAAGAAAGAAAACAAGCGGCCTCGTAACCTCATTCTCGGGGCAGTTGCTAGCACTGACCACCGTGCGTTGCTATGCAGTCGTAACTCTATGCGTTCTGGTAATAAGCACCAGTTCCTTCCCCCCAGGGGCAAACCAGATAGAAAGCAGCAAAGAAACTAATGAAACAGAATCAAAAAATGGAAAAAGAGAATAGAGGGAGTGGGGGGTATTGATAAAGGAAAGGGATTGAAGGAGAGACGCGATGGTGGGGGGATATAAGTGAAAAGGAAAAAAAGAAACCTGCTTCAGGCTGGGTTTACAATTCCGAGGGTGAAAAGGTCGAAACGCCCAGGCCAATATCATGTTTACCGTTTTCATTCCTGTGAGAACGCCTGATGCGCCTAAACCTATGCCGAAAAGTAGAGACTGCAATCGATAGATGTAGCATCAACGGTAAATTGGGTATTGTAAGTCGTTTCAATATAGCATGCGGGCTGAATAGCGCTTTTGTAATCACTGGATCGTGGGAGGGTATATTTGGTATGGCGTTATACCTGACTTGTGTGTGTGTGCCTGCCGTTCTAGTGTTGTGTCACAGTCATTGGGTGATCGTCTCCATCATTGATAGCCGCAGCATTCAAAAGGCCAGATACCGATGGCTGGCTGTCAACTTCGTCAGGAGACTCGTCATCATCATACATGGTCACTGCTGTTCCAGACCGTTCTCGAAGAGCAGAATGGTTGAGGTATTCTCGTAGTTGTCCGACTCCATCGCCGCTAAAAACGCAGAAGACCTCTCTTTGAAGAGGAGTGAACTCATCTGGGGCAGCCCGGCAAAACTTGGTCAAGTCATTTCTTAAAAATGCATGGACACCGGTCAAACTCAGATGAGTCAGTCGGCGACAGTAATTCAGAAGAGAGTGTATTCCCTGAGATTCGATAACAGTTAGTATGAGGTTTCGTCCTCAGATTGAAGTGTATGTATGTACCTCTACAGTCAAGTTGACACAATAACTCAGATGCACCCTTTCAAGGCCACTGACCAAGGGATGCTGTGGGAACCTGGGCTTTGCCAGTGCTAGTATGCTTCGATCAGTAATAGCCTGGCATTTAACGAGTCCTATTCTTCGTAATTTTGGCAGTGTTGCCAGTTGCTCAACGCTTGCGTCGGTGAGGCGGTTGCAGCATGCCAGATCAATGTATCGGATTCGATTGCAGGATTTCACCATTTGAGTAACGGCTTGATCGGTGATATTAGAGCAATGGCCTAGGTGGATGTAGTGAATATTCTTCCCTAGTCGGCAGATGGCATAAACAGCTCGGTCCGTAATAAATTTGCACTTTCCAAGTACGAGGTTTCTCAGCCTTGGTGCAGAATCAATGATCTTCTCGACTGCGTCATCTTTGACTCTCTCGCAAGCAGTGAGGTCTAGAATCCTAAGGCAGTCGAATACCAAATTTGGAGGAAGTCTAAGGAAAGCTTCATCGCTTATTTGTATACAATGGGCTAGGCGCAATTCTCGGAGGCTTCGCAGGGTAGAAAGAAGTGCGGTTACCGAGGCGTTGGTGATATGTCGACATCCGTGGAGATCGATCTCGAGCATCGAAGGGCAGTTATTAGCAAAGGCCAGGATAGACCTGTCCGTAAGCTGAGCTACACCATTCAATTTCAGCTAAAAATAGAAAAGGTCAGCACATGCTGTAATATGGTAACTTAAAACAGAGACACTAGTAAGATACTTTGCATACCCGTTTGAGCTGTCGGCAGTTTTGTGCAAGTTGGACCAGGGAGTCATCAGAAATGTTAGCGCAGTTGGTGATATTTAGGCCCTGGAGCCTGGAGCAGTTGGCGGCAACAACGTTCAAAGAATGGTCGGTTAGGGATTCGAGATCAGACACATCCAGTGCCTGGAGCTGCCTGTTCCCCTCCACTAGGTCTGAAATTCCCTTATCGGTGACGTTCTTGCAGCCAGTCAGGGTCAGCCTCTCGATCCGTTTGCATTTGACAAACGAAAAGACGGTTCCGTCGTTGACCTTGCTCTTCAGGGTCGTGAGATTCAGGCGTTTGACCAAGTCGTAGTATGGGAAGTAGCTTTCTTCATCCGAGATTGCATGTGCTATCTTGAGCAGGTTGTCCCATGTATTGCAGAGTGGCCTGTGCCATAGAATGCCCACGCAGTTCATCGACCAACACGAGGAGACCTTCATGCAGTTCAGTAGGTCTAGCGGAGACGAGAGCTTTGAAAAGATAGCAATGAGGATCTCTGGAGGCAGTCGGTATATCGGTGGCAGTGGCATATCTTGACTACGCCTGGAGTCCACGCGGAGATCTCGGAAATTCCCAACGCCTATCGATGACTGCGAGTCGTTTGCTTCGAGCATGAAAAAGTCGTTATCCTCATCTATAGCTCTCTCTGGCGAAGTGGAGGAGGAAGAATCGCCCCCCAGGTCTCGAGGACGCGAGCGGCAGGCCATAATGGTAGCTGAAACGGGATGAGCCGGTCAAAATGTTCGTTTCAACGGAAAACAGTATTCCTCAGGCAGGTAGTCGGAATCAGGGAGACGCGAGATACCGTAGTATCGTAGGATGGATGAGCTTTTCGTCCGCGGGTGTTGACGCTGTTGTTGTTGTGGCCGTTTGGTTGTACGTAGTGTATCAGTTGACTGTGCTAGTTATCACACGATGGCGTCGAAGTGAGGTGATTTATCCCGTCGAAAGTGAGGTGAGGTGAGACTGCTGGCCCTTTCTAGCACGTCTCGCCTCCCTATATCGTCCTTCTTGGAGTATCAAACAGGATCAGGATGTGAGCTTGACGGGCAAAGTGAATCCCACGGGGTCGTAATCATGGGGAAGTAGGCGCCGGGCCAATCTTCGAGGGCGTTTAATTAGTTATAGGCGTCAAGCGATAGGAGCGGCTGTGGACGAGGGACTCTCAGCGGTAAGAGCAGCAGGGACAGCGGCGACGGCGGCGGCGAGACGTCGTAACGGCTGTGATCTCCCTCCTTCGTCTGCTTTTCTTTTCAGTCAGGCAGGGGCTGGATTAACTAGTGAGGTGATATTCATGCAGGCTGGTTCGCGAGCTTCGTTTCCAACGGCGCATCGAGAGGCCAAGCCAGCTGGATTCAACTAACAGGGAGGGGCAGCAGAGCTGGGATTGATAAGCAGGCAAACGGGGCCGCGCGGGAGAGGCAGACGGCGGGAGGCAGCAGAGGCAGCCGGTCAGCGAATGCAAAGGAGCAGGCAGTGAAGACGAGTTGGCTCGCTCTCGGTTGCGGCGAGGTGATGCAGCGACGGTTGTTGGTGAGAGAGCAAGACGAAAGCAAGTTTGGTTGGCGTTGCAGGCGCCGTCGGAGGTTTGCAGGAGGTTTTTCCTTGTCACGCGTCGGGCTGAGTGACCGAGACGAGACGGTGATGGTGATGCTGATGCTGATTACAGGATAGATGGTAGAAGAAGAGAAGTTGTTCAGGTGGATGACCGCTAGTCTTGCAGGTCTCCGGTGAATGTTGATTTTGTGAAGTCGTTGACTAGTTATGGGAAAAAGCGCCAGCGAGTCTACTGCTAGATATCAACAAGGACAACATACAAGAAGAGCCCAAGACCAAAGATAGAAGAAGAAGAAGAAGAAGAAGAAGAACAGAAATAAGAAAAAGCAAAGAAAAGAAGGCTATGAAGCTTGCGAGGCGCCCTTGGCCCATTCTCGCAGCACATTCTTCTTGATCTTGCCGGTGCTGGTCTTTGGCAGCTCCGGGACGATCTCGACCTCCCGCGGCACCATAAATCGACTGATGCCGCTGGAGTTTTTGGCCCAGGCGATGATGTCGGGGCCGGTGACCTGCCTGCCGGTCTGGGTGGTAACATAGGCCTTGGGCCTCTCGCCCCAGTGGGCGTCCGAGACGGCTACGACGCCGACTTCGAGGATGTCTGGATGCGTGGCCAGCATGGCTTCGAGAGCGACAGAGGATATATTCTCTCCCCCTGTATGCATTTCACCGTTAGCAGTGGCTCTCTCTGTTTCAACTCTAGAAGGAGGTTTGAAACCTACCACTGATAATAATGTCCTTTGCCCGGTCGAGGATCTGGATGGCTCCGTCCGAATGCCACACAGCCAAGTCACCGGAGTGCAGGACACCGCCGGCAAAGAGCTTGTCGGTGGCTGCTGCGTCCTTGTAGTAGCCTCGGGCACAGATGTTGCCCGTGAACACGATCTCTCCGATCTCCTTGCCGTCTTTGCGGACGTCGATGATGGTGCCCTCAGGAACATCGGTCTTGATAACCCGGACAGGCAGACTGGTCAGGAAGCCGTGGCCCTGCCTTGCCATCCTCTTGTACTTCTCCTTGAGCGGGATCGTGTCCCACAATGGCATATGATACGCCTTTGTGATGGGACCGTAGGTTTCTGTGAGGCCGTAGACATGGACCGGATGAAGGTTGACGCTGGTCATCTGCTCAAAGAGATGGGCAGTGGGCGGACTGGCAGCCACGGTAACTCTGACCGGCCGTGACAGTCTCTCTGCCTGCTTTGCAGCGCATAGCAGCGTGTTGACCGTGGGAGCGGCGTTGAAGTGAGTGATGTTCTCTTGCTTCAACATCCGCCATATCTCAGGGTAGTCTATCTTGCGAAGACAGAAGTGAGTCCCCCTGACCGCAGTGATAGACCAGGGGAACGTCCATCCTGTTGACCATCTAGTTAGCAGCGCACATCTTTCGACACTCCTTTGGTAGTTAAAAGTAGTCTCAGTAGAATGCAGATGGTGAATAGCATACCCATGGCATGGAACATAGGCAGAATCCACAGGTAGCCGCATCTTCCTTGCTGGAAGTTCAATCCCGACTCGATGATGTTCCCAAGCGCAGCAAGATAGCATCCTCGATGGATATATTCTACCCCCTTTGGCCTCGCCGTCGTTCCACTGGTGTATGCAAGCGCGATTAGCGACTCCTCATCTGCCGCCTGAGCCTCTAGTCCATCCCATCCCGGCCCCCCTTGCTGCTCGTCATGCTTCAACCCTTCGAGGATAGCGGCGTCAAGGTCTCCGCTTAGCTCCCCTTCGTCCGCGTGGGTGTCGGTGTCAACTATCAAGGGTATATGGGAGCTGCCCTTGCGGAACTCATCCAGCAAGTGCACAAACTCCTTGTCAACGATGATGGAGTCAACGTCGGCGTGCGTGAAGATGTATGCAATGTCCTCTGCCTTTAGCCGATAGTTGATAGCTACAATCAGCTCCGGTTAGCCCGTATCTCTCCCAACGCTCCCCGACGTTGTCGTCCACTTCACACCGCGTATTCGGAAGATCTTACCGACGTTGACTGCGCCGGCTGCAGCAATGCCGAATATCGACTCGAGGAAGCCAGGCGTGTTCGGAGCCAGTATCCCCACTCGCCTGTACCCACGCTTCTTGATGTAGTATGCAAGTCCCCTCGCCCTGTCTGCGAATTGCTGGTATGTCTTCCGGACGGTCTTGTTGTTCGCCGTAACATGGTATATGGCTTCAGCCTACATGGACCAGACGATGTCTTTAGCCGCGCCAGCCCCTCCACGCTGCAACAAAGAGAACAATGCTCTGCATAAAAGGGATTGTCAACAACGTACGTCTGGCTCGATTGCAGCTGCGCGAGGCAGGAAGAAGGTCGGCGAGAGGGTATGTCTGTTCCTGCTGAGTGAAGCAGCGTCTCCCTGCTGCGGCTGGAGCTGCGCAGAGACGCTCTCAAGCCTGGCCTTTGCGCCAGACATCGTGGATAGAGATGGGAGTCAGAACAAGAAGAAGGCAAAAATGCAAAACGGGGGAGAGAGAGAGAGGAGGAAAGCCGGAGAACCCTTTATATATTCCGTCTCCCTGCCGGTCGGACGGTGAGTTGCGTCTTCTGCTTCTTGCCGCTGCTCGGCGTCTCATGCGATGGAGCCGCCTCTGCCTATTGCCGAGGAACTTCCGACGGGGGCGGCTAAGGCGAAGCTGGCCCGGCGCTGGTAGATGTTACTAAGAGGAAGAGCAAGAGGAAGAAGAAGATGATGATGATGATGAAAACGTCGGAAAGGGTCTTTGTATTTGTTTAATGTCCCCAGTCGCAGCTGTGTGTCTGGAGGCGCTTTCTCTGGGCTGCCATAGGGGCAAAAATTGGAGCGATGCAGTAACTCAGCGGTGAAGAAGAAGAAAAAAAGAAACAGCAGCTAACTATTTGATAAGTAGCCTCTCTTTTTCTCAAATCCCAAACTCGACGCCGCAAAGAGTACATATTAAAATGAAGAAAAAAGGGTGTCTTTTTGTTCTTTTTAGGAGAAGAGGAAGAAAGGGTGGACACAGAAAAAGAGGTCTTTTCACTTCCGTCACAAATTATCCCTGAAGTCGTAAAAGGGGTGTATTTTGAGTGATCTGGAAATGTACAAATCAACTGGCGCGCCGTGTACAACATGTTGCTCGTCAATTGCCCACAGTGCATCCTGGATTGAACCCATCCACATCAGCCCCGACAAGGTATCTAATAGCCGTACTGAGCCAACTGCTCCTTGGTCTTGTTGTCCACACTGGCGGTTCTCTGGGCCTGGAGAAGTTGTCTCCGGGCGGCCTTCTTGCGCTCGTAGTATGCAGCGCCCTTGACTTTTCTCCTCTCTTCCAATCTGTGGGGGAACAAAAACATATTAGTATCAACTGGGGGAAGACCAAAAAAGTAGTAGATTCCAAAGTGCATTGACGAACCTGGCGACGACGTCCTGGTACTTCCAGCCAACCTCGTGGCTTAGTCGGCCGACTGTGCAGTATTTGCGGCCGGGCTTGAGGCGGAGGACACGGAGAGCTTGGGGAACGACGACACGCTTCTTCTTGTCATAGGGCTCTGGGATGCCCTCAAAGACCTTCAGTCTCTCCATGGCAGCAGCGCCTCGGGCGGTCTTGTGTGGGATCATGCCCCGGACGGTCTTGTAAAAGATGCGCGAGGGAGCACGGAAGTGGAAGGGACCTAGGGAACCATTGTTTTAGCTAACCATCCTCTCTCCCCTCATGCCACCACTATATCTGGATTCTCTTGTCTTCCTCTCCAGCATTGATGGGTGCGCGTGATCTTACCTCCTCGGGTTGGGTTGAAACGGGTGATCTTTCTGAGGTAGGCATGGTACTTCACTATTAATTCACAAGTCGAATTAGCCCATAACCTTCCTTTCGCATAACCATTCAATCCTTGTCTTCGACTCCATGTATTCTTCCCCATGCTCTTGTCTTCTCTTCCTCATTTCCACTTCTGTTTCCCTATATCTGTTGGGGGGATGGTGTATGCATACGTTTGGCACGGAAGAATTCGCCGGAGATGTTGAGGGCTTCACATCGGACAACGACGATCTTCTGTCCGTTGAGAAGTTGCTTGGCCACGGTACTGGCGAGGCGACCAAGGAGGTGTCCCTTGCCGTCGATGACGACCTGTAGGCAATCGCAAAATCAGTAAAAACCGCGACCGCAATTGCAGGGTTGGGGATATCATAGGGAATCAAATGTCCAAAACGTCCGTTCTGCCACCAGACGCAACGGGGAGAGCAACGCACCACTGGCTCGAAGGTGGACATCCTGATCTGATCACCGGTTCACGAGGCTAATATCCCAGGGAGAAGAGGAGCTCTGCTCGAGGAATACACCTTGTGTTGGAGTTTGTCGAATGTGATGTCGTTGATGAGCGCTCAAAAACCACCAAGTTCAAGTTTCTTGTTGTTTCGACGCTTAAGCGAAAATCTCTTTGTGGGCGGCGTCGGGGTCCCAGCCCTAAGTGGCCCAATAAGAGCAGGTCACGTGGTGCGGCCCGGGGATGACAAACTTCGACGACGACGACGACGACTTCACTTCAAGGATATTGGAAGAGATAAAGAAGAGACTGCAAAGAAGAGCCAGAGGAAGGGCAGAGGTGAAGAGGTGAAGAGGCGAAGAGAGGAGAGACTGGAAGACTGCAAAGAGAGATGGCGGTTCTGCGGCTCTACTTGACTGCTTCCATCGACTACTGACTACGCCTGCCTACACAGCGGGACAGGCAAGATATTCTACTCTGATGAGAGTCTCGAATATATCAGATCTACGGCAGCTATAGAAGCCATCATGGGCATCTCCAGTGGCTACAGGGGAAATTGAGTCACTATAGCGCGGAGGATGCATGCAAGCCTCATTCACACCATGACTCATAGCCAGGACAGAGTCAGGATTCACGATGTTAAATGCGAGTTGAAGACAGATATAAAGACGGTCTTCTGCCTTTACTACTTCAAATACCACATTATTTCTATCTTCTACAACCAGCTGCCCCAGTATACCATGTCTCTTTGATCAGCCCATCAGCTACAATGGTTAAAACAAGATTCGTCTGCGTATCCGATACCCACGGGTACGGGACACGCGAGGCGGCTTTCAGGTTGCCCAAGGGAGACGTCCTTATACATGCTGGAGACATCACCAACAAGGGAACGGTAGAGGAGTTCCGCAAGTCGGCCCAGTGGATCCGAGAAGCAGACTTTGAAGTCAAAATCGTTATCGCAGGTTTGTTAATATCTTTTCGCTCCTTTTTAACAACCGCCAACATGTCACTGCTACTCACATGTCTATATGGCAAATCTTATGGCATTGAGATGGCTGACATGACGGGTTTAAAGGCAACCATGATGCTCCGTTAGATAAGGAGCTCTACAAGGGCCACACGAAATTCTTCCATGGAAAGAAGATCGTTAATTCGGATGAGTGCCTTGAACTTATCTCTGCTGGGGGGATAACCTACTTGGATCATACGTCCAAGATAATACGTCTTAAGCGTAAAAACGGGCCAAGGACGATGTTCAAGGTGTTCGGTTCTGCTCGTCACCCTACAAACAATTTCGGGTGGAACGCGCCTTTTGGCTATCCTGCCAAATCTCCAGAGGATGCGCGCAAATGGTGGAGTCAAATTCCTTCCGATGCTGATGTTGTTGTTACCCATACCCCAGCCAAAAATCATCTTGATTTGACTACTCACCACGGCAACATTGGGTGCGAACATCTACGCCAGGCCCTGTGGAGTATTCGACCCAGACTGTCTATCTGTGGCCATGTTCATGAGGCCAGAGGATATGAGAGGGTCATATGGGATGTCGACGACACTAAACCCGGAGCTTTCAGTGAAACCAGTACGACTGTTGGAAGTCTACCTCCTCGGGAGAGCAAGAAGATGTCGCGCGTCGATTTGACTGGAAAGACATACCCCCGTCTGGCAAATGAAGGACCCAAGGATCCAGCAAGGAGTGAGACATGCTTCATCAACGCGGCTATCCTGGCAACTCACTATCCTCATGCAGGAGGGCGGAAGTTCAATTCTCCGATTGTGGTTGATCTCGACCTCCTGCTTGATGACGAGCAGGAACCAGAGCAAAATTAACAGACGAAGGATGCTAGAGATGAACATTCTGTGCAGCCATATTGAGGGCATACAAACATGCCCGGACTAAACAGCTTTTACCCCCGCCAGGCTGGCATTAACAAACTGGCGCTTGCTACCGTCGTTACGGACACTCGTTTAATCTTTTCTAAATGTATGAATGCCCTAGCACCTTCCGGTGTGGACCTCAATCAGCACACTGCAGACCCACAGACTGACCTCTTCTAGTGACCATACTAACACGATCTAACAATCGTCAATCAACTATCCTTATGTGTTTTCTGGGAGCCTACGCTTCACCTTCATGGTTCATCGATCATAGTCAACCTCGTCTTGTCAGGCTCACTGCTACCCAACCTCGCCAACACGTGAATGAGTATGGCTCCAATCCACCATACACATGTTAACCACCTATAGGCGCTGTAGCCCAAGGCAATACGAAGTCGAAGTCCATCCTTATTCTTCTATTCAATAATAGCGGCTCAAGTATATCTGAGCCTAACCTAGCAATAAAAATACACCACTCGCTTGCCCTATCTCGCCTTGCATCCTGTGATTCAATCTTCTGCCATCAGTCCTCCTTCCTCAACGTATGGTTAAGCGCTGATCATAACGTGCCATAAAATGAGGCGTATAGCATATCTTATGCCACGGTGTAAACGAAGTCTGATATCAAAGTGTAGTCGAGTATTCGAGCATAACTACCATCACCTGGGACGTCAGTCACGCCAGACTTGTATCCAAAATGCCGTTTTTGAGTAATGATTCGATATGTAGGAAATATACTTCCTCGAGACGTGAGGCGATGTGCCTATGCTTAAATCACGCGAGGCTGCCAATTAGGGCTCGTCCTCTGCCTCGATAATCTATCAGGGAGCTCAGCGGCCCGAGTACCGCAACCTGAATACGATGTGACGACAGGGCCCAAAAGAAGATGATTGTCCTCGCTTCTCATGACGACTAATTCGGATAATGGCTGCGAACCTTCAGGATCCAACGGGGCGAGCCGATCGTACTCTATAATTCGGCTGCCTGCTGGTATCCGCCTCCTCCCGCCAGCGACAGCGATAGCAATCAGATTGTCATTCATCGCAGCTGAGTGGTCACCGTCGACGCCGCTTCAGCTCACCGTCTCGATAAATATAAGCCCTGCACTGGCGCTGGCGGTGGGGTGGGTACGGGGCGGGGATAAAGATGATGAATTAATGTTTCCAGATCCTGCATCCATCTTCCGACGCAGGATGGAAGCCGCAATTTCCTCACTTCACAGTGGCTTGAACTCCGCTAGAATAAGCACTAGAGTACGGAGTATCTTGGACTTCTTCGTGCGTCGGACTCGGGTACTAGTAGGGCATGGGATACCCTAGGTGTCAACATCCTTCCGGCATTCCGGGTATGTACGCCGCGTAATATCTCCGAGAAATCAGGTAGAAAGTTGCACCGCCAGTTTAATCTGTTACATCAGTGGCTCCTCTGCCAAATTTTTGAAGGAATGTAGTATTCATAGGAGGTTTTATCTGGCTGTGCTATGTAAGACAAGTCATTGTTCCATTCCTTCACATTTAGTCAAGACCCTTTTCAGAAGCCTTGAGATAACGGAAGAGATGTCGCATTACTATCACATCATAGCTTGAACCCCAACACCTTCCGTATCATTGCCCGTCCCTTATTAAACTATCTTGAAATATGGATCTCATGGCAGAGTGAGGACAGCCGATGTTGCTGTTGAGTGGAAATAGACTATGCGGGTAGTATCAAACTCTATTTTTAGCATTGTGCCACTCTTAACCCCCCTTTCTAGAATTATTGTGACTTCACCGTGTTGTTATTACAGTTAGCAGTTGTAGTAGATCTCACGTAGGGTATTAATTAGCCATTAGGAGGGAGTGGGAACGGGAGCAGGAGCGGGAGGGTATTTTGCACCCATGGCCTGCCAAACTGGACGAACGTCAATATTATCACCCTTTGCCTTTCCATGCACCATCAATTCATGGCCACTATCCTCCCTATAGTACATGGCCCAGTCATGCTATCAAAAGGACAGTCAGCAAGGTACAGAGACCACTGTATCACAGAGAGATAAGCCATACCTTCCCTAATGTCAGCTTGATGACACCATGTGCTTCTGTGACACGGTAAGTCTGGAGTGGAGTATAACCGGTAATCAGGGACACAATGTTTGAGGCAACAATCTCCGCCTGTGCCCGTGCAGTCCTCTCCATTCTCGGACCGGTGGTTTTGGCCACATCGCCGAGGGCAAAGATGTTAGGGTTCGGCATGTTGGGACCATTGTTGATCTGAAGGGTTGGATGCACGAGGATCTGTCTGCTTTGCTTGCAAATGGCAGAAGGGAATATGTTGGCAATAATGCTGGAGTTCGGTCGCTGGCCGGTACAACGGATCTGTTTTAGGCATGAGCTTCTAATAACTATGGAGTGCAAAAAAAAGGGGCGGGAAAAAGGAAAAAGGGGCTGAGTTTACCACCAGGTCGAACGTCTCCTTATGGCCGTCCCTGAAACTTAAAGTATCTTGTATCTTGTCTTTGGCCATTGACGCAATATCCTCAGTAGTTACTGTTTGAGGTCGTTCACCAAGGATCAAATTAACATCCAGCTGCTTGAGCGTCTTCATCACATGTTCATGTAGCCGGGGGCCAAAGTTAGGGAGCAACTGTGTGCGAGAATGAATCAAAGTCACAACTTTTTGAGGGAAGTAGCTCTTGATATCAGACGCAACTTGTACTCCGACCGGGCCTCCTCCAACTACAGCAATGTGATCCGCCTGTTCAACACGTTCCTGAGAGCCATGCATTTCCTCACAAGCGCTTGCTTTCTCCGTTGAAGCGAGCTTAGCCGGCGACGGTTGCCACGACCCAGTAGCGATTGCAAGGTATTCATAGTCAATCTTTTCACCAGAGGCAAGAATAACTTGGTTGTCTGTTATGCTTGTCGCCGAGTCCTGTATATGCTTGAATATACCCGGTGGAGCGGACCTGGCGACTCCGTCATAGGGGATGAAGGCAGACTGTTCCAGACCAGATACTACACCACAGCGAGGAAACACAAACAAGTGATTAAAATGGGAATTCCTCTCAATCAAGATTGCCCGGTAGCCGGTTGGTAGCGATTCGGTTAACCGTTGCGCAAGGTGGACGCCGGCGTATGAGCCCCCGAGCACCACGACATTCTTAGGCGATGGAGTTTCCCGGTACGTCCATCGATGGCCAACCGCAGATATCTTTTGCTGGATGTGGGTGTATACCAGGCCGAAGACAAGGCGAGAGCCCTTGACGTAGAATTCAAGCGCCTCCATTTTCCATTTCTCATAGGATCGGTGTTGGGAATAGAAAATCGGAGAAGAGACAGGGCATTGTATATATATAAATAGATTATATTCATATTTGCGAGAAAGCAGACGCCTGTCGGGGCATCTATATCTTTTCGGAGCGTCATGTTCACGATGCTCCGAGATACCTCGCACGAGGCTAGCAAGTTAAAGCCCGGCCGAGCAGGACCGGCCGAGCTTCGGCGGTTAAATCCTTCCATGCCATCTCCAGAGATTAGGTATTTTCACATCTTCCAGGGACTTGGGGGGGTATCATTTCGATCGCTATTGGTTACCTTTGGCGATGTTTGTCTATCGAGTTCTTCTCAGAAGAATCGGTAGGAAAAGTGGTGGTGACCTTGTTAGCTGGCCAACGGCGGACGGTTTGCCTTGAGCAAATCATTATCAACGTCGCCCTTTGTGTCCCTTTGTCATGGAACGCATGAATAATTCACTCTCCTCGTCTCGTTCCTTTTATGGCGATAAGATTTTCTCCTGGATCTCTCAGCTTTGAGTGCGTTGGTTAGTAAAATTCCAATTCTACGAGTTGACATCCCAACCCCCTAACTACAGCTAGTTAGATTCTCCTGAGCCCACTGCTCTGAAACGCCAACATCGACGACTACTTCATGCGTTATAGAGAGCGGGTAGAATCATCACCATCTGTCGAGCCAAGTTGGAGTAACAACAAATTGTCTCTACGGGTGCTCCACAGCCGGGTGTCTGGGTAATTCCGGGTGGACTGATGTATGCCATGGGACTCTAATCGGAAGAACGATTCCGACCAGGTGCTGCACGGCGATGGATAACCGGTTAACTAGTTAGTTAGTTCCCCGGATAAAAGCCATTTCCTCGTTGACGCAGTGCCCCTCCTCTTATAGCCAAATAACCCTTGATGTATAAATGTTGGGAAGCTCGAAAACGATCAGACGCATCGCTCTGTGATTTGACGAGATAAAGCCCGACAACTATAACTATAGCTCCAGCATTCTTTCAATCATTTGCCGTGGGGGTGCTGGGAGAAGCATGGAAGAGCATCTGTTCATCCAAACCTAGCTCAGGTCGTCCACAACTTTCATGCGCATGCAAGCAAGGGCCCTAGGGGCGCAAGGAGCTCGACTTTCCCCATGCTCCAAACTCGCCGTATGAACGAATGAACTCAAGCTCACAGCACTTTGCGCTGAGTGGTCAGGGCCATCCCACCTCCCTCCACGCTGTACAGCGATGGGCGTGGAGCAAGCCAACCCTGTCCCGGACTGCCTGAGATCGAAGGTTGCAGCCAATCAGTCCCTGCATCATGCACGAACGAGCGTAATAATGAGACGAGCAGCATAGAATCCATGCCCCCAGCGAACGATGCGCATGTCTGCAGCTCCAGGCAAGAACATCCAGCCAACCACAGGACGGGGAGGCCATCCATCTCGCTGTCGTGGACACGACCACACCCAGCACTCGGACTGGACCTCACACTCCACTGGGACCGCAGCGGCACGAAACAGCGTATCGGGAGGAAGACGATGATGAGATAAAACAAATAGAGATTGAACTGCTCTACTTGCGCCTTGGCTCCCTCGGACGGGGCCTTCTATGGCTGGCTGGCTGGCTGGGTCGGGTGGAGGTTGAGTTGAGCAGCTGCGTTGCCATGCCATCACCGCCATTCAGAGGGCGAAAGGGACGACGATGGCTTTTTCCGAATAATGTCGTTAAGAGGTCGACTACCTATCACATCCGCTCGAGGTTGTTGCTTCACTATGTAACACGGTCTGCTGGGTGGATGCAGGTGACTGCTGCTCATCCCTTGGACGACGGGGTTGGCGATGGTGGAAATATGATATCCAACCCCCCTCCCCTAGATCACCAGTCATCGACCATTAACCATATCAGCAATCTACGTACGGGAGCAGTTACCCGTCTGAGGGGCAACTTCGCTAGTTAACTTATCGATAACTAACTGCGAGCAGTCAAGTTGTCCCGCCCTTAAACTCCCTCGTTTTTACCTGCTTCGTTTCTTTTCTTTTCGACCCTCGTTGCTTTTTTGACTTTAGGTTTCGCCGGCTCTGCTGTGAGGGAGGGGTATCAACCACCCCCTTGCGCGAGCATGCATGCATTCTGACTCCTTCGCTCACTGCTGGAGGGGGAGAGAAGACGTCTGGAATGCAAGGGGCAGCAGTGCCTTGCTGCAGAGCTGGCATAGGGCCTTATCTGGGGTGGTGGTAAGGGGGGGAGGGATGTAATACTTACTATATATTAACTGTCTGGGCAATTAGATGGAGGAGTTACACGCCGCCCCCTACGGCGAGGAGGGAACGGGTCGTCCGGGAACACCGTGGAAGCAAAGAAGGCGAGCAAAGAAGAAGAAGGTTTGTTCTTTGCGTTCTTCATGCTTTGCATAACTTTCCTTTGGCCGCAACCCCCTGCTCGTTTAACTCGCTGCTGTCCTGGCTGCCGGACGGGCTATCCGTAACACTGCTCCATACTCAAAGCAGTCAAGAGAGGTGCTTAAGTGAGCACTTGAGCAGCGGCATGAGGACTGTGATCGTGATCTTGCGGAAGACCAAGGGAGGTAAAAAAAAAAGAGGAGAACAGGACGAGGCCCGTTCCATTCCCTGAGGCGAACAGGGAACGGGCAATGTGGATCTGGCTGCTGAGTTACGTCAGGACGAGTACGATCGTCTCTTCTTCAGCCACAAGCATGGAGTAATCCGGCTGGCGGCAACTAACTAGCCAGCTCTTCTCCAGCTGCTGCTATCCCGCACACGGAGGAGGACTCCGTCAGACAGGACAGAATAGCCATACAACCTCCGGTCAAAGCTGAGTCGTTACTCCGTCACCCAGGGGGGGGGGTCCGGGGGAGAAGGCCCTCAGCCCCGTACTACCGGCGAATGTAAGTAAGAGTAAGCATAGCGAGGGCCATGATGGAGGATCTACTCCGTACGATGGGAACGGATTATGGTCCCTGGATCCTCAGTAGTAGGTAGTCAAGAGAATTCTCTCTTTCGGTTCGTGTAACAGCCTCTCGTCCGCGACGACAAAGGAGCAAACTAAGAAGTGAGCAAGCGTGAGGAATACATATCGTATATCGTATATCGTAAATGATTCCGCTCTTCTTTCTCCTCTCATCGAAGTAAAGGGGGAAAAAGCAACGGGATGGAAGTTTCTCGGGTCTAGTCCGATCTTTTCCATGGCCCTTTCTGGCTGCTAGTTTTCTTGCTTCTCGTCGATATATAGTTTCTCTTAACTATATTCAAGGCCCGTCGCTGCTACAGTCAGCTGGATGGACGGCGAAAAAGCGACGTTGCTCTCGTTTCTTGGGTTTTGGCCGTCTCCATCGATCAGTTGGCCACCCACCAGCCATCTGATATAGCGAGCCAGCCAGTGCTAATATGAATATAGGGGGGGGGCCAGTTAACAAAGTTGGCGCAGCACGAATCAGTGTGTGAGCCAACGTCCTTGACACTTGACGGTTCTGGCGGACCGGGTTCCCGAGGCAAAGACGAGCCAAAGCATAATTGAATCTGCCTTTGCTGAGACAGGAACGGTTCCGGAAGTGCAGAGAGTGATGATGTCGATATGGAGGTGGCCTCCCGTATTGCAAGTGTTGCTCCTTCATCCCAAACCCCCTTTTTAACTCATGCGTATACATCATGAACAGCGCCCCCTGTTTCGAAGGCAGTCGAGTAAGCGCCCGACGATTGGACAGCAAGGCCAGAGAGACAGCCGTCGATGACGAAATAAGAGCAATGGCTCTGCCTGTCTCTCTCCCCTTATTTTCTTTATCCTGATGCCTGACGCCGCCAACGAGTGGCCAGCAGCGCCTGAAAGCCGTAGCCCCCTTGTACCCCATCCTCAACACAGGTAACTCTCTGTAACTCTCTGTAACTAAGTAGATGGCTTTCTTGCAGGGCTCACGGCTTTGATGTCAGCTGGGAAGTAAATACGCATCGTCCCTTGCGCTTGACAGTATAAGGTGAAAGCAACACTGATCAGCGCACTTTTATATCGGCAAAAAGCATGCTCACTCCTCTCCCCCTCCAGTAGAAGAAGGAAAAAGCAAGTAGAACAGAGACGAAGGCAGAGAGATAGGGCCCCAGGAAGGCTGCTGAGGGAGGGTGGAAGGCCAGTCGAATCAGCTCTCGAAGCGCCGGCTGCCCTCCCTGCTGCCCTCCATCACAGCGCCGTCACAGCGAGCTGGACTGTAGCGTCGGCGCTTGTCGCTGCCAGGGCGGTAAATAAGGGCATCCGCCTGCGCTTTTCATGAGACAGAAGCCGTCGCAGTCGCTGTCTGTCCGTCGAGTAACTGGCTGGTCGATGCTGTCTGCCGCAGAACTGGCGGCTTGGGGCGCGTTGCTTGGTTAACCCGTCGCCCTGCTTTTCCATCTGCATATCTAGCAAGCTCGCTAGGTATATTTAGACTGCTTGGACTGCTGCTGCTGCTGCTGCTCTCCACACCGCTGCTTTTCGCTCTGGTCCACTGGTCGGGCCTGCATCGCCGCCGTCTGAAGCCCTGGGAGGAGTCGCTGCTGTTTCATCCGCATCAGCATCAACTTCTATCACTACAGAGTAACCACTGCCATTACTGCTTACTTCTGCTGTCCGCTCTCTCACTCTCACGCACACACCGTCGCTGCCCTCACCGAGACAGCCAGGATCCTCGAGGAAAAGCAAAGAAGAAAGGGACGGAGCCCAGGGCCTGTGGCTCACTCCCCCTAGGTTGCTGTGTTGGCCACCCGCCTTACATAAAGATACTCAGCGGCCCCGAAGGCTCGCCCTGGCTGCTGCTGCGACGGCGTGGCGCTGCTCTGATATTATTCCTTATTCTTACTTATTCTTACTGATCATTCTCGCTGCTGCTGCTGCTGGCGGTGCCTTGGTTGAGTTACTAATAAGGCCTTTGTCTCCTCCGTCGCTCGCTCTCGCATCTTCTCTCTGCGGACATAACACGCTGCAGACCAGCACGCCAGCGTCACCTCCCACTGCCACAGCATCCCCGGCTGTTGTCGAGGTGGCAAGCATCCCGAGTCCGAGTCCGTCGTCGTCGTCGTCGTCGTCGTCGTCGTCCTTAGTCTTCTTCTTCAGCAGTGGCTTTTGGCTGCTATCTCCGTTCCCTGTCGCTCCCTCGCCCGCACCGCACAACCGAACCCGACCTCGACACTCCTTTTATATCTCCAGGGCGGCATCCATCATTCCCCGATAGATGACACGCCTGCCATTCACTCTGCTGCCCGGTCATCGCCCATCGTGTATCTCTCGCTCGCTCGCTCACTGCAGGCATCGTTCCGTCTCAGGCACGCCCTCACATAGACGGTGGACGGCCATAGAGTTATACTTCCCGCCCCGACGACCCTCAAACCAGATTTCTGGGAGAACAACATCCAAACACAAGCACGGCAACCAAGATGATCGATCTGCCTGCTAATGATCCATACGAAGTCCTTGGGATACCATCGACTGCTCAGACTGCCCAGATCCGGACTGCGTACAAGAAGCTCGCCCTCAAGTTCCATCCGGACAAGATCCAGGATGAGGCCCTCCGCGAAAAGGGCACCGCCGAGTTCCAGAAGATACAGGAGGCCTACGAGCTCATCTCAGACGAGAACAAGCGTGCTAAGTATGACCAGGCGAAACGGGCTGCCGCCGCTGCGAAGGAGCGAATGGCGGCGGCTAGAGGTCCGCCCGGGTCAACGAGGTCAAGAGAGAACTGCGTCTTTGAAGATATCACTCCCAGAGGATACTCAACAGCTTCAAAATACGAATCGCGACCGCCGCCGCCGCCGCCTCCTCCTACCTCAAAGTCTCGTCGGGCCCCTCGAGATCCCTCTCCAGTGTCGGTAGACCGGAATCCAAGGCCGTCTCGCTACTCAGATGACGACTCTCCTTACGAGGAATACCGCTCCAGCTCGAGAAAGCACTCCGGGTACGATAGAAGACACCACCATTCTAGAACCAGAGACAGAGACCCCTACGAGAGAAAAACTAGCGGTAGCAGTAGCAGCAAGGAGTACGCCAGACGTGAAGCCGCTCGATACGCAAAGGAGAGGGCCAAGGAGGCCCGCGAGTCGACTAGAAGCAGTCGTGCCAGCAATGCTAAATACCGTGACAAGGAGCGCCGTCGAGATACGTCGGAAAAGCACAGCCGAACGGCCTACGCTGCCACCGTCGAAGACTATACAGATGAGTCCTCCTCCGAGTCTGGCTCTGAGACCGAGTACAGCGAACATGAGTACACTCGTCCATTCAGAGAACACGTACGGCCAACCGAGAAAGCTAGATACCACAGTGCGAGCTATTCGTCCAGCTGGGAAAGCCCCAAGATGGCTGCTGACATCGAGGGCGCTTGCGAATACATGAGATCAAAAGCTGGAATGCAAAAGGCCGCAGAAGGCAAGCCAAATGTCGTATACATCACTCCGCTGGGATCTCGTCGAGAAAAGGACACTGCTCGTCGCTCCTCTGCCAGATCTCGCATGCCAGAGCGAGAACGTGAACGTGAACGTGAACGAGACAGAGAACGAGAGCGGGAACGAGATCGGGATAGAGAACGAGAAAGAGAACGAGAAAGAGAACGCGACAGAGATAGAGATCATGTCTTCGACGCTCCTCCTCGCTTCCACACCTCTTACAGCATCCCAACCCGCGGCTCACACTCAAAGTCTTCCTCCACATCTTCGCGCGCACCTCCTCCTCTCCGTCGAGCTGGTACAGTGCCAGCTGCCTTTGATACCAGCCATGTTGAACCAATTGTGCCCCGATCGGTCAAGAAGAAAGGCACCCTCTTCGACTCCGGTTACAGCAGTCCAGCTAGTAGCCCTCCCATTGTCCCCTCCGGCGATTTCGTGCGCCCCAACACCCGCCAGCCCAAGATCATCACGCCAACCGGCGGCAGCGGCAGCACTAGCAGTAGTAGCTCCAGCCACCGCCGCACCCAGAGCACGTCTCCCTTACATCGAGACCCTGTCACAATCCAACCAACTTCTGCGCCTCCCAGATCAAGTCGGTCCTCCGATATGTTCCAAGAACTGAAACCAAGCTATTACCATGTCTTTCCCAGCCAGGTGAGATACTCACCGCGCATTGGGACAGAAGACATCTCCTTTGGCGGGCCTCCAAAGAAACCGGCCTTTTTCAGGAAAGCCTCTGCCGTCTCCTGATCAACAACTCAACCAGCCTTATTCATACATACTTGTTAATATTTCTTGCGTTACTTTATTTACCCCCACTCTGGAGTTTCACTGTTCTCTGCTTCCCGGTGTCTTGTTGCCTGCAGCTTGTTCGACATGACCCTTTTCTTTCTTGCCAACATATACGTGCTCCCCCCTCCCCCTCCCTGTTGCTGGAGACAACAACAGACAATTGGCCGCGACTAACAGTCGAATATGCCATGTCATGTCTTCTGCCGAAGCCATAACATTCTACCCCATACACAATATTTTAACTAACTACCCATACCCTTCATGACCTTATGACTTTTTATTTTATTTTATTTTATTTTTTTTACTGCAATTCGCTTCTGCTTCACTTGCCCCCATCTTTCTTCCCCCCACTCATGATTTTATACGAATTTATTTTCCACCTCCCCATATACTATACATATATCGTACACTACCATTTGTGCTTATTTATTCTCCGTTTTCTCTCATTTGGGTTCCAGGAATTCATCACATCATCATTTATCATGTTCATCGGATATGAACGGTCGGTGCGGAGGGGGCGAATATCTATGTCTCTTGTTGTGTTATTTATTTAGTCTATCAAGGGGAGCTCATACTGGAATGGAACGGAGGGATGCAATACAGCTCATATCATATAATTCTGCGCGGGGTGCTTTAGCATCAAGTTTCTGTTCAAGTGTCTCTGCCAGCGTCTTTATGATATCCGGTCGTCCCAAGGCACGTCCGTCTTTGCTTGAAGGCAAGGAGGGTATGGGGGCAGTTGGCGTAGTTCGCGTAATGCTCATAAGGGTATTTTTTCCTCTGGCCATATCCTAGATTGACTACGCAAAGACTGAGTGGATGGCTCCCTTGATACCTTTAGGGACACCGACGCTGATCGTTGGCCGCTCTACTGGATATATCCTGTCCACACGGCCTGGCAGAGCAAGCAGGGCAGCTGATTAGCGTGTTGAGTCGGTTATGCCCTACCCAGCTGGCCAACTAGTTGATGAAAACTATAGGAGCTGTCCCCCTAGATACCTAATTACTCCGTACTAAATAATAATGTTTAATATCTTGCCTCGACGATTACTTTCTCGAGATTTTCTACTCTAATCAATTCGTCAATATGGACTCGCCCCAAAAGCAAAGGTGCAATAGCTCCCCTCTCCCGATATCTCCTCCGTTTGGTGCCTCTCTCCCAATAACTAACCTTTGTCAATCTTTTGAAGCTAGCCCGGGTAAAGGGGCGCTGAATGGTAGTTATAGAGGAGACTCTGGCTTCAGTCTCATAGACTTAGATATCTACAGAGTGTAGCAAGGGGGATCCAGGAAAACAATGTTATAGATATAAGACGTTGATTGGCCAACAAAGTTAGTTTATATACACCTATTAATTATTCAGCTAGCCAATGAAAGTAACTGGTTATTAATATCAAAAATAGAACATCAACAAAGGGTCAAAGCTGCAGATCCTGGCGACTCAAGAGGATCCTTGCGGCTTGGTCGACCTACAGAGGCTGAGTGCACGAGGAGATTGATATAAATCCATCGCATTTTTAGGAACTGCTCGATCATCCTGAAAATGCCCTTTGATTCCTACTATAGTTACTCAGTAACTAGGCTTCATGTGACGGGTTTGGGGCCGAGCTCGTCACGCCCATTTCCAGCTCCAACACAGTCTCGCACAATCTGACCTTGTGCCCACCAACACTGTCTCCATCCATCACGATGGGAGTGTTCCTCCGACATCTTCGTGTTGCCTTTGGTCCCGTACTTACTTCCATCGACGATCTTGCTGACATTTTCAGGCTTTCGGGGCCATGGGTAGCAAGAGGCTGTGACTTCCCCACAGGTGTCTGAGTCGCGGAGGAAGATCGTCGTGACAAAGCTGAGATTATAGCCAGTTATGCAGCAAATGTAATCCTTCTAAGCGGGTTGCCTTCCAATGGGTACATGATGTTTGTCGACTACTGCTACTCTTTTCCGTGTCTCACTCGGCTTGAATATTCTGTCAGTTCATCCTCAGGCTGATACACAAGGTACGGAATTCAAAGCAACAAGACGTATGGGCACTGGATCCTTCGAGAACTGCGCCCCATGGGGTTGCATCATTTGGTAGCTATTGTTTACCTGCGTATCATGGAATTTGGACCTCCCACTATCTAACCGATGGTTTCCCGGCTGGATTAAGGCCGTGTGACGACTCTGGCTTGTGTTCCGGAATGGAATTGCATCGAGACTTCAAGGGTAAATATTTCTACTTGGCCGGATCTTTTCGATGCGCAGGCTACTATAACATCATTTGACCGGACTTTGAAGATACCCAGAACTCGCCCACAACTCAAACCGGCTCTTCGTGCTCGAGAGGTAGTGGGGATGTCATGTACTTGGCACGGCTGAGATGCATTGAGGCATTGATGTCAGATCTTCCATCATGAAGGATTTCAGCCCAGTCAAGTAGTTAGCCAGGGAGTAAAGTCATGTTAACCGGTGAGTTGAGGTGGTAATGAAGAGAAGGCAAAAGGTATAAAGGCAGCCCCCCGACCCCAAAGCCAGAAGAGCAAAATCAGAACAATCCAAAGAACTACACGAAAGACATTTTAGAACACGTTCAAATCCAAGTTATATCCTCTTCAACTGTCTACTCTTGACCAATTCCTTCCTCAATCCAAAATGAAGGTCTTTGCATACATCTCCCTTGCCACCGTCGTTGCTGGTGCAAACATCAGAAACCACTTCGGAGACAACTGCAAGGGTGGCTATCTCGATTACCCCAACATTGCCCAACGAATTTGCGCCAGCGCCCTCCATGACCAGACTAAGGGTGCAGTCACTGTTGCCTTCTCTCAGTTGCCCCAACGCTCTTATATGAACGGCTATCAAAGCACTCGTGACGGTGGTATCTGCGGTTCGCGCCAGAAACAGCAGAATGTCGGAAATACGGACCACAAGTGCCTGCCTAAGTTGGCTGGTGGCGCCCAATATGCTGGCAGCAGCTGGACTGCTCCTGGGTTCAAGGCTGAGGAGGATACGAAGTGCACCAGCGAGATGGCACCTCACGCCCTTGTCCTGAACGACGGACACAAGTTTGCCCTCGGTGGTATGGAGAAAGACATGGTCAATTCACTCTATAAATTGGCAGTCGCAGGAAAAGGCTTCCAGGAATTGCCAACCGAGTTTGGAGCATTTGAAATCGAGAAGGAGGGTGTCCAGCAGCGCGCTCAAGAGATCAAGGCTTAAAGAACGGATATCTTTCTGGACTCATCAATGACCTGGATGTGGATATAATGTGATTTGATGATATGATAAGCCATATCAGAGAATGGCGATCTAGTGTTGAGATTATTTGTTTTTTTTTTTTCCCGTATGGGTTTATGCCATGCCATATACTTGGCATAAATGTTTATTTATGGTCAGTCGTTACATATAGCAAAGTCTTTCATTAAAATTTGATATTTTGTATTGAGCCCTTCAATGGAAGTTGAGCGAGTGATACTATTCATAAAATTGAGTGTATACCCTCTAGATGGAGTAGATAGCTAACGGCTTGAACGTTTTCACTTCCCACACTAATCGACAGTCAGCATCTTTTAATACTTATCCATCTTCTATAGACTGATAGGCTCCGTGTAAAAATGATGGGTAACGATACTTGAGGTATGCGTTTGACAGCTATCACTAGGTTTGTTGATACATGGCTGTATTCGCCCAAGCCTCAGCATAAGGTTAGCATTAGGGTTATTCCGTAGTTAGCTTGATCGCGCTAATCTTAAACCTAAAGAGTTAGCCTGTTGCTAAAATTGGTATATCTTGGCGCCAAGCATAGATCAAACCTTCCTTTGTCGTCCTTGGCACTTTGCGCTTCTCTCTTCTCTCGGCGTGTTCGACTTACGACAGACAGCACGACAATACTTATTCAAGGGTACGCATAGAGTTGTGTAAATCTCCCAGAAAGAACGATTCGTCGTTTTGCATAACCTAGAGAGGCTCCTTGAAATTAAACTGGATATGACATTATACATGATACAAGCAAAGATGGTTATCTTGCTTGATCTCAATATTGGGTGGATAGGCAGGCGGGAAAACTGCGTGGCAAACAATGAGAATGAGGGGGCAAGAACGTAAAAGATGTTATGGCTAAATGAAATGTCCAGCACTAGCAAGAACGGCGACGTTGGGGGTTGATAACAAGGAGTGAGTCAACTCCCCGCAATTTGAATAATTCCCCAAATTCATACACTCCTTCATAGAACAGTAAATCAAGCCAATGGTTCTAGTTCTATTCAAAGGATGGATAGCTCTGCTGGTGTTTACTATATTGGCACCTGGGAGAGACTGATACGTGAAAACAAAATTTATAAATAGGCAGGGCTGGGCATAGCGGCCAACTGGATGTAGAGTATCGATATCGGCATAAACCGATCTGGTGTGTACCATGACTGTGATATCGACGGCCCTGGGGTATAAGATTAAGCAAGGACGTGAATAACATGACAGTTAGCTTGGGTGTTGGACGAGGAACGAAAGGATAGCTCGGACCTTCTCTTCTACATAGACTACCTGTAGTTATACCCCTGAAGGTCTTCTAGCTGTCTAGTCGACCTGGCTGCCTAACTGATTACTGACTACTTCCTCTCGCACGCTACACCGAGGCTGCCTGTGATTTACACAGTACGTAAACTGCCGATGATCGAATGGAATGTAAGGTCATGCGCGGCCCAGGGGTTACCTGCCACCGCCGGGTTATCACCTCTCACCTCCTTGCACGCCAGGCTCATCTGGATAGCCATCCCTCCCTGTTAGTTAGCTGCACATGCTATATACGGCTACCTGATAGGAATCTATCCGTGTTGCCTTCTGGCTGCGTAAAATACCGATATATCCCGGCCTTGCTGGTGACGGTGACATGCCGGTTATCTCATCAACTTGACTATTCTCTAGTCAACTAAGTCGGTTGGGCTGATAGGAGCGGAGGGATGGTCCCAGCCTCCTTGTTTCTCTACTCCACTCAGTCGACGTTAGTTGACCAGGTCATTTGGCTGCTTCATCTAGGCCTCTCACTATGTTCTCCCTACCAACTCTGCTCTCATGCAAGTCATTTGAAGAGGGGGGGGGGGTTCGGCGATACCCGTCATCTTATCTTAGCCATGTCGTTGCAGTACGATAGTATGCTGCTGTTGGAATTTTACCATATTTTACGATGCGAATAAGCCCTTACACTGGTCATTGCTAAGGGAATAGCTACGTCAGTCAAGGCAGGAAATAAAGTCGTGTTATCTGCTATCTATAAAAGGTCCTTTTTTATTTCGTTGCCCATGGTAAGCGTGCGTCATATCAACCTTGCCCTAAGCCTGAGCTCGGGTTTGCGAAAGGTATATTTTTTTTTTTTGGTTCTCAGTTCATTAAAGTCATGTTTGACGCGAGTATAAACATGTTCCATGATTCTTTTTGCTATATGCAAAAACCAAGAGTTGCGGGGGAAGGTAAGTGTAGGTAGGGTCCAGAAGGTAGTCAAGTTGATATCAAATACAACAAGTGCATACATGGTATATATCTATGGCTCAGTCCAATCAACCTGATCCACGCTGGGGTTTCCGCCATTTTTAGCATAGCTTATTCTTAGACGTAGTCGAAGCTTTGGGGGAAGAGACTAAGGGTGATGTATGTTAATGAAAAGTAATGGAACAGTAGACCAAAGAGAAAAACGGGGTTCACTTACGCCAGACGCAGCAGCAATTCTCATTGCCTGTGTGCCCTCTTCACCCCCGTCAAGTTCTGGTTTGTTGATAGCGCTCAGTTGGAGCTTCTGAGTCTTGGGTACGGCGGCTTGTAGACCGACTTTCGAAAAGCTGTCTAGCGCAGAAGTGTTACGGAATTTAGCAAGTATCTGACATGTTCCAGCACTATTCCTTTGCACCTGAAGAGTTACTTGAAGGTCGTTCTTGTTAAAGACCTCGTGCGCGGAAGGGGATGGGGCGGCAGGAGCGGGAGCTGGAGTTGGTCGTCCCGGTAGGCCGGAAGTAGCCTGCTGTTGGGAAGCCCCATTGGAACCAAATAGATCCATAATGTCGTTAACGTTTGAAGCCTTGGTGGAAGTGGGTTGTGGCTGTGGTGCTGGCTCTGAGGTACCTCCGCCAAGTATATCAGCGAGAAGGTCAGCGGTATTTTGTCTGCCGTTAGTTTTTCCTGATGTGCTTTCGGTCGGGGGTTCGGAGCCGCCCATGAGATCGAGGAGCATGTCTTGCTCAGTGGGTTTAGATGGCTTCTTAGATTTATCCTTTAGCAGCCTGCTCTGCCGTTTATTGGTCACTTCACCAAGCACTCGCTGCTCCTCGCGTATTTGTGGCGGTGGCATCCTCTCGAGGACTCCCTGCCTTATCTGCTCATATCCAAACAAATTGCTATACTCCACGGCACGTTGCTGGATCTCCTCGCTCAGATCTGCGGTCTTGGTCTTTAGGAACTTGCGGATTCGCTCAATCTGGGCAGGGTCCGAAATTCTGACTGAGAGTTTCATGGCAGCTGTAGTAATGTATTCGGTCACGATTGGTGTAGCGTATGTGCTGTTAAGGATGTTCATGAAAAGGTCAATAATGTCGGTCTCCTTCACCTCCTTCACAAGCTCCTCCTCCTCATACTGACCTCCATTGAGGAGGGCATCTCCAAATTCACCAATAACCCAGGATGCGGCTATGGTAAGACCTTCCTGGGAGATGTCTTCCTTCAGTGCTGCATACAGCTTTTGTACGGAATAAGTTTGAAGGTCGGGCGTGGTAGCAATGAGACGGACGAAAGATGATATGATCTGCTCCTTCACGTAGTTTCCGGCAAGTTTCAAAGCTCGGAGCATGGTGTCCACATGCCATCTTGGGTTGGGAGCAAATTTGTTGGCTGCGATGCCGATTTGGGTTGTCATGGCGGGCTTGAATTCATTATCAGCGACCTCGAGGAAGGCTAGGAGCTCACGAACAAGTACTCTGACGTTTCCCTCATTGATCAAAGTGAAACTGAGGTCAAGTGCTCGCCGTCGTATGCTGATATCCGGATCTCGTAGACATTCTAAAATCGTGTTCCTATGTCTCTGAACCGCATTTGGTTCTACAGCAACCACTTTGACCAGGGTATTGAGAGCAACGTATCGTATGTTGTTATCCTTGTTTGACAAGAATTTGCCCAAGATGTTAACACCTAGCACACGAAGACCAGAGTCGGCTTCGATATCCAGGATGGTCAAAACAGCCTCATATAGAATAGAATTGCCAACGTTTTTGCTTGATTCAGTGTTCGTAGCCACTTGAGCAAGGATATCATTTATCAGTTCGCTGGTAGCCGCATCGCCTCTTCCGAGAACTCTCAGGAACCTCAGAATTTTGACCTGCAAGAATGGGTCTGTTATACCCGACACGTCATGTTCAGGGGCATAGCCAGAGGATGTTAAACCCTTCAGCGTCCGCACCAGTCCGGCTGCCATTGGACGGAATTTTTCCACGATTTCCCCTGTACCCTCAATTTCATCATATTCACAGAATTCGATCGCGAGAGTGAGGCCACTTAGCAAGACTCCGTGGTTTCTGTCCACCAAGAGGTTCTTCGCCTTGTCAACAAAATGTTCCAGCAAGTCAGGTACCTTGCGGCAAATTCGCATGGCGCAGAGAGCTGCCTTTCGACGAATGTAAGGGTTTGCAGTCGATATAAGGGATTCTATCTCGGGGAACAAGTCTCGGGACATTTCGACAGACGCAATATTTCCGAGTGTGCATAGTGCAAGGCCAACGACATATTGATTCGAGTGGTTGAGGTCACTATCAGATATAAGTTAGCATTCCGCTGCGCCCAGATTGGAGGTAGAGCGTCTCCCACTTTTTTAAAGAGTTGGTAACTAGAGTCAGAACTTCCTGGTTCTCGTCTAGCAGCAACATAGTCCCTAGATAGCCCAGCCGTTTGTCGGCGAAGCGAGGTGAGGCAAGCAGTTTCAGGCATTCTATCTGCCCAAAATGTGTTCTTTCTCCTAATGTAAACAAATATAGTAACTTGGCAACATTGTTTCTCCTATTCTGCTTGTCAGTATCCTGTCATTGGGCCCTAGTCATCTAGGAGATAAGGAAGGGGAAGCAACAGCTGCCTCGTACCGAATGCCAGAGTCAGTGCTGTCCTCTCGGAAGCTTGCCCGGATAGCAGCACTCTCTTTCTGAATAACCGCGCGTTCGTCGGCGATGGTTTTAGATGCGCGAACATTGCGGATGAATTGCTTGACTAGAAGCTTGATATCAGCGTTTGCAAATGGACGCAAGGGGTTTTGCGGGGCGCCCTACGAGAGGTCATGGTGACGGCGTGGACCCCTAACGGGGAGCAAGCTGGGTCAGGGCAGGTCGAGGGGGGGCTAGGGGCTGCTCAGCATGGAACAGGGCGTGCAAGTGAGGCCGTCTGCTACTCCGAATTGATGCTGGATGCTGTTACGGAGGTATCAGCGGCCGTTCTTCGCTGCTCCGTTATCAACGGTCTATGTGGTCGAGTTGGGCCAACATTTGGCTGACTCAGCCTTGACGGATTTATATTTATCCATTTCGTGATGGAATAGTCATCTCTTAGTCAGCTTTCTGACGTCAGCGGTAAAAAACAAACAACGCCGATTTGCAACCTCCTGGCCGATCGAATCGCAATGGACAACTCGACCGCAAGGCCGTGGCCTGTAACTATACCTTGAATCCTCCGTGTTGGATATTTATATTAAGCCCCTTCCTCTGCCCTCAACCTGGCAATGGCTGTTCCCTAGGACTGCATGCCATTGAACAGCTGAGACCTATATATATTCATCTTTATCGTGCTTCTCTGCGGCATTTTATATACTTCATGCCATTGCGACAACATCTATTCCTCAGTTATGGCGCCGACTCCCAATGATTCAGAGGAATCAGGCGTTCTTCGGCCTCGAGTGATGCGCGGTGCAATTGATCCGTTTATAGACCGACCGCATTTGGCCCTGGATAGGACGCCATCAAGTCTTTCAAGGTAAATAGCCGTCCGACAATTTTCGATTTTGTTGTCGCATTTCGTCTATGAAGACGCCTTGAAGTACAGCTGTTCTGACTTGATGTCCCATAGTGGTCGCTCAACCCCGGTAGCAGAGGATGCACCTCCTTCCGTTCATTCAATATCGAATGTTCGGAAGCAGGTACGTGCTCAGGTGAAGCAGCGGATGTTCTACAATATCGATTATCAGCCGCGACTATCACATTTCGATCCCAATAGTGACCACCGAGACTTTCATGGCTTTTTCGTACTATTTTGGATTAGCTTGGTGATTATGGTGATCACCACCGTACTGAGAAACATCAAAGATACTGGATACCCACTAAGAGTCCATGTTTGGTCTCTCCTATCAGCGAACGTGATCGAACTTGCGTTCGTCGACCTGGCCATGGTGGCCAGTACCGCGGTGACAGTGCCGCTCCACAAAGCAATCCGGCGCAGCAAGGGTTTGCTTAGGTGGGGAAAGGGAGGCATGATTGTGCAGAGCTTATATCAATTTGCGTGGCTTTCGTTCTGGGTCATGTAGGTATACACTCTTTTTCAGCAATTTGGCCTGCTGGTTAACTCAAGAAACACGAATAGCTGACCGAACCAGACTGCCGTTCAAGCTCGATTGGACATGGACGTCTCAAGTGTTCTTAACCCTCCATAGCCTGGTGTTTTTGATGAAGATGCATTCATATGCATTCTACAATGGACATCTAAGTGAAACTGAGCGTCGATTATCAGCTCTGGATAAGCCACAGGCCAAAGCCTACCCAGCTGCAGTCCATTACCCGAGATCTCCGTCCGTAGCCGGTGGCGCAAACCCAGCAAATGGTGATGCAGATTCGCCTGATTCCGAGCCTGAAACTAAACGAGATGTAGGGAAATTGAGAGCAGACCTAGCTATGGAACTAACCTCTCCACTTGGCTGTGTCACCTATCCTCAAAACCTCACTTGGAAGAACTATGTCGAGTTCATTTTCTTTCCAACTCTTTGTTACGAATTGGAATATCCACGAACTAAGGATAGAAGCTGGATCGAAGTGCTCATCAAAGCTGCGGCAGTCTTTGGCTGTATCTTCCTATTAACCCTAACCAGTGAGGAATTTATCGTGCCTGTTCTGAGCGATTCCGCATTTAGACTTCGCACAATTCCATCACATTTTGAAAGGGGCTTGATCCTTGCTGAAACAATAAGCATGCTCCTCTTCCCGTTTATGGTGACGTTCCTACTAGTCTTCCTTGTGATATTTGAGTACGTATTGGGGGCATTTGCCGAAATCACACGGTTCGCAGACAGGCGGTTCTACTCTGATTGGTGGAATTCTTGTGACTGGTATGTAATATCTTTAACCCTCTGACGTATCTATATAGGTATTTTGTCATATTATATCGCTACTAAGTATTGTGCTATAGGTTGGAATTTTCGAGAAAATGGAACCTCCCAGTCCATCATTTTCTTCGGCGCCATGTCTACTTTTCTTCCCTAACACGCTTCTCAGCTCCAGGTGCAATGGCCATTACATTTCTTGTTAGCTCAATTGCACATGAGCTGGTGTTGGTATGCATCACTAAAAAGTGGCGTGGATACGGCTTTTTTGCGATGATGATGCAACTACCTATTGTGGCAATCCAGAGATCGAAGTTCGTGAAAGGACGAAAGACTTTTAACGTAAGCCGTTACTCGTGCGATTAAAAGGATTATTAGCTAATTTTCCATGGAAATATAGAATATTTGTTTCTGGTCATCTATGATCCTTGGGCTATCGTTGGTAAGTATATCACGTCGCGGTAGGATGACTGCTTCTAGATCAAGTAAGTATACTAATGAAAATAACAGATCTGCGCACTTTATGTTCTTATATAACCATTCTCATTTATATATACCCACTATACCTCCTATTCGAGGTAGATGGCTCTAGGAGGTGGAGAATTTCAATCTATCCAAACATACATTAAACTGTCTAATTACCTAGTTCTCTTTTTGGTCTTCCTTTTCACTCAATATACTATGTCCATGCTTTTCCTTGGATGGCTTATGTTTGAGCTTTCGGTCTATTAGAATTTCTATTTCAGATTGACATAAAACTGGTGGAATCCTGATAATAACTTATAGGAAACAGAATACAGGCTGTTGAGACAGCAGAATGTAGTGAAATAGAACAATTTAGAGAAACTAGGAGAGAAATAATCATATGGGGAAATTGCCCAAATGCTATGATGCGATTATGCAATGAATCCAGGATAGAAAGGTTACATATCAATTTCCAGCTGTAGACGGAGAGATGAAAGCAAGGTATGGACTAAACCCGAAATTCCAAGATAACGACAGTGAATATGTTAAAGAAGAGAAGACATAAAACATACTCGCCTTCCAAAGTCGCACTGAACGCCCATTGATGAACCCAACAAAAGTACGCAATATATTCACATTGGCGTATAACCATATCCGGAAGCCTAGGTTTATATATGTTCGATTGGCTCTTCGGGAAGAAGTGGCTCGCGGGTCTCTTCATCAAGAGAAGGTAGACAAGCCTTTAATGGTGGTGTAATGATATCGTTGAAAAGGAAAGTTCCATAGACAAGCATGGCGAAACCAAGGACCTGTAGCCACTTGAAAGTCTCCCAGCCGAGACCGAGGGACACAAGCCAGATGAAAAGGGTCCTGGATGTGTCGATAGTGCTTCGTGAAGTTGCAGATAGGGAACGTGTGACACTGAGACCGAAGAAGTTGAAGCCCCTGCAAACAGTGAGTTAGTAAATGCGAGGCCATCAGCCCAGGCAAAGATGGACTACGTACCCGATACTGATCATAATGAGGATGCTGGTTATAGCAACAGTCTTGTTGCTAGTCATGCTTCTCCATCCCTCGACAGCGTCAAAATATCCAAGTCTGCCACTTTCAGTAACGCCAACGGTAAGGTGCAAAATGACCATTGCCAAAGCAGTGACCAGGAGTCCAAAGATTCCTTCCCAGCCAACAACCTTCAATGGATCCATGGCATATTTCTCAAGGATCCACTCCTCCAATACGAACTGCGAGGCAGTAAATATTTGAGCAAAAGCAATCAAGAAAACACCTAGAACGACTCGGAGGGGATCGACGTGTTTTTCAGCCGATGTGATAATTTCACTGGCCCGTCTGATCAAAGCTGCAACTGCATCGGCGTCGCCGGGCACGATGTCCACCGGGGGTTTATGATGGTCAGGGAAGATGGCACCAGCCAGGCCAACTAGACCCACACCGAGAACGACGCAAACCAGGGCAAACCATTGGTAGAAATATAGCCTTCGTTTGAGGAAGACGACGCTGAACAGACCGACGAACAGCACGAGGGCACCGCGAGTCATTTGGTAGATACTAGCAACAACGAATAGAAGACCGACATTCATCAGCGTAGTGCCAGTGATGTCACAGCAAGCTGGTAGAGCAAGAAGTAAGATCTTCGTTCCACTCAGTTGTGTCCTTGTATCTTCCTCAGCTTTATGTATGTCACCAGTCTCGTCATCAGCCTCGTCAGCGGTATCGATGGACTGGTATCCGTCTGTAAATAGTGGTGCGGCGGAGGAGAATCGACGTGCAATGAAGCCCTTCCAGATGTCGATGCAGAAAAGGACAAGCCAGCATCCCATTTCTCCCACAAACATCTGGAGTCTGTTCTCATAGTTAGTTATGAACAGAGTGTCCTCGACAAAGTCATCGTAGGTATAGCAAGGGAAGAGCGTACGTCTGGAGAACCGGCTGCTCAAAGGCAACCCGTTTGCTGGGATCCGGTGAGTCACAGTTCCTCACACATTGCATGTCCTATCGCTTCTATCAGTTATAGTTCTATTCAGCTATTCACATCCGGGCAGGAGACCTACCTGATACTTGGTGAGGAGGGTATTGCAAACCCCCGTCACCAACATCATGGTGACGAGGAAAGGAACAAGAGCCCTGGGGACCATGGTGGCCAGTCCTCTGCTCCTCTGACAAGACTTTAGTAAAATATAATAGTAACCTGTGTTATTCTTCTTCTCCTCCTGGCTGGTTAGTACAGCCAAAAGAGAGCGAAGAGGCGGTGGTGATGGCGTGCTTGTCGAGGTTGTTGTCTTTGTTAACCGCCAGAGCTGGAGAAAGCTGGGGGTTGCGCCGAGCCTCGATCTTTCCGGCACGCGACGAAATGCAAAGTGACGAAACTCTATTTGGAAGGCAAGGGTAATATCACGTGATACAAAATAAGGTGATCAGCTGACCTCGGCGAGTGGACGCGCCAAGGAAGTTTAAATGGATCACGTCACAAGGCTATCACGTGTGAGTTAAATTACGTAATATATAATCAACGGCTTCAGATCGTTTTGGGGTATCAATAACTATTGATTCTTCGGAGCTAGTATACAAAACGAACAAGCGCACATCTCTGGTACATGGCAGACATTAGAAAGCGATGGTTAACAGAATATATTATTAGTCAGTGTGTTATGGCCGTGTATAGCTCACCTGCCGGTATTAGCCCGTCTGCTCAACACAACCAAGTAAAAAAAAACCAAAACGCGGGCAGCATGATTAGTTAAACAAGTCCAGGTGAAGAAGTTTGTGATATTATCAGAACCAAGGGAATGCAAGCAAGATATTAGTTATCATAGTTAAAGCAGTGATGATCGAGCTTGGAGGTATCAAAAGAAAGCACCCTAGACCAGAAACGCCTTGCTGTGATTAAGAATAAAAAACAGAGAATTAGGGGGAGCCGAAGGGAGGCTTGCAGAAGCCACTTAAACCGGGCACGATATTGCAAAAACGATGAAAATGAAACCAGGAGGAAAATGAGAAGTACCCATCCTAACCAACGAAAGGAAAAATATATTTTTTTTAATGCCAAACCCATTCCAAAGTTCCTGTCCCACCAATAAAACCCAGGGTATTATTTCAACGAAATCCAATTAACCGGTTCCTTTGAATAGCAATATAGTCTTTTATGCGGCGGTCAACACCAAAGCAAACGAAAAAAAGGGGGGGATGGGTAGAAAGAGCAAGGCGTGAAGAGCAAAAAGTAGAAAATTGGATTGGTGCCAAGCCCAGAAGCCAGGTTTAGATGGAGTAGATGGGCCGCTCAGGTCGTAGCTTGGAGGAGCTATCAGTAAGGTTGTCGTTTAGCTCCATTGCGTCCCAGTTGACGCTTTGCCATCCATCGTTGGTGAGCATATCATCATCTAGATGATCCGGAAGATTGTCCCAATCGAGAGGCATCCAACTATCCGTGTCGGTACCCATTTCTTCGTCTTTGATTTCACCATCTCGGGGAGTTTGCATCATTGCAGACGAGGCGGATGCTGGGGTGTCGTCTGATGGCTGATGGCGGGGACCAGAGGAGGTTTCTTTGGCAGGTGCGGTCTCAAAGAGTTCATCTGTAAGAGCTTCGAGTCTTTCTGCAATGACATCGTCCACGGGGTCGGTGACGAGGCCACAAGAGGTTTCATCGCCTATATCGGTGAAAGCGGTGCGGATCATCTCTCGGGATATAGGGCTGTCGGACCAGGCATCCTTAGTGGTGGCAGGTGCCTCGAGAGACGTGGTAGGTGCAGTGGCTTCTTTCTTATCTTTGTTTGCGCTAGCGGAGCTCTTAAGGATAGACGATTTCTCCTGCTGAGATGGTGAAGGCTTCATTGCTACTGAGGCTGGGCCAGCGATAGCAGGCGCGGCCCTCGTATCGGCTCCATTATGCTGGTTCGCGGCCTTGTTGACACCGAGACCAACCTTGAAGCTTTCAAGCAGGTAGTCAAGAGGATTTTCGATAGGTTCTTCAGCCGAATGCGTCTCCTGAACGTGCTGGTCCAATGCTGCTTGGGATGGGAAGCCTCTAAAGCGCTGTGAACAGTCACTGACCTTACATCTGAAAACTTGTGCTGGTGGAGTTGCGTTCTTGCTAGCGGCCACTGGTGTAGTCGCAGGGGGAGTGGCCTTGAGCTGCTGGTTCTTGCTGGCAGGAGACTTGTTGGTTTTAACCGGCGACTCGTTGGCAGGCCGCTTCATCTTGCGTTTCTTCGTCTCCGGGATCACAAGGTTATCTTTGGTTACCTGGTGGGGACCGTAAGCGCGCGGGATGCCCTGTGGAGATGTGGCGCCGATCTGATATGGCGGCTGTCGGGTAGTGGGGGCGGTTGGCGGGATGGAACTTTGAGATTGTCCTCGCCTGGCGCGCTCTTGTTGCTCAAGCTGTTGGAGATTCACTGCGTTCAGAGGTACGTTGGGTGTCTGTGGGCTAGCAGTGCCTCTTCCAGCATTAACGGCGGAAGGAGCTTGCTGCGCCTGTAGGAGCTGAGCCTGTGCCTGCTGGGCTTGCGCTTGCTGCATCTGCATCTGCATTTGTTGCTGTTGTTGCTGCTGTGTCTGCTGCTGCTGTTGTTGCTGTGTCTGTTGACCTTGCTGAGGTTGTTGCATTCCCTGCTGGTTCGGTGGGTTTTGTCGACGGGAAAACATGAGCACGTAGCAGCGTTGGATAAAAATCAGAGCATTGTTAACGAAATCAGGCTTGCAAGTAAGCTGGTCGGCGACGGTCCAGTCATTCGGCTTGAATTGTTTCATTAACTTCGCCCTCTAGTGAATAGTTAGCAATTGCATCATCTCAAAAGAAACAGGGGTGGGGGGAACAAATGTAGGAACATAGGACGTACCATTTGCAACAGCATTCTCAGGGAGCGATCCTGCTCCCTAAATTTGGCAAACCAAATAATCAATGCATCCATGTTAGCAATCATATCAACTCCCTCTCTAAGCTGCTGAGATGCAGTGGAGTATTCGTCAGGAGTCATGGGTACGGGAGCAAATTCGGTATCATTCCGAACTTCGTCTTCATAGGCTCGCTTAATGGGCTCGGGAAGCCGAGACCAAGCTTCAGTAGTCGCCTCTCTCGTGCGCCGATGGGTTAAGTTGGGCATTTGAGGCTGGCCTTGAGGCTGGCCATGAGCTGCCAATTGCGCTTGGCGGCGAAGATGCGCTTCAACCTGAGCTCGTTGTTGAGGGTTCATCGCTGCAAGGTTCATAGGATTAAATTGTGACATGGGGATAGGCATTGGCCTGGCGTTGGGATTCGGTTGAGAGTTAGAGTCCATTGCACCAAGTCGGGCTTCGGTGTCAGACGGGTTGGGCCGTTTCAAGCCCTGAGGCGGAGCGGGGACAGCAGCAGGGACTGTGGCTGGCTTTGTAGTGGGAACGGGTCGCTGCTTAGCCGACAGAGGAATAGTCATAGGAGCTGCTGTGGGCTTGACCATGGGTTGGGTAGAGTTCGGTTGAGAGATACCCGGTTGCATTGGACTAGAGGAGACGGGTGGTTGCATGTTTTGCAGTTGCGACTGTTGCTGCTGCTGCTGCTGCTGCTGCTGAGAAGTTGGAGGATGATCGGAAAGGACCCCTAGGCCAACGTTTTGCATAGGACCAGCCTGTGATTGTTGCTGTTGCTGCTGTGTCGATTGCTGCTGCTGTTGTTGCTGAGGCACGAATCCCTGTGCCTGTTGCAGCTGAGCTTGATTTTGAGGTTGGCCCGGTGGGATGCCGCGGGCCTTGAGAATCTGTTTCTGTCGGTTTCTTTCTAGAATCGCTCTCAACCCTTCATCACTGATTTTCAACGCTCGTGCACCTAACTGTTGCCGTGCTATCTGTACGTCGTTCATGGTGACAGGCCGCAAAATTCCCGGTGGCAGCTGCCCTGGTTGGCCTGGTTGACCGGGTTGTTGTGCGAGCTGTCCCATCTGCCCCGGTTGCTGCCCGGGTTGGGTAGTTCTGGGCTGTGGTTGGAAACCCTGCTGGTTGAACCCTAGAGCTGGTTGCTGAGCATTGGCACTCTGCTGTTGTTGAGGCTGTTGCTGCGGCTGCTGGGGCTGTCCTGGCTGCTGGAAAGGTGACTGGAGTTGCTGAGACATGAAGTTCTGTCCATGTCCCTGCGCAGCTAGTTGTGCCTGTGCTTGAGCCTGAGCCTGAGCCTGAGCCTGAGCCTGAGCCTGAGCCTGAGCCTGAGCCTGAGCCTGAGCCTGAGCCTGAGCCTGAGCCTGAGCCTGAGCCTGAGCCTGAGCCTGAGCTTGAGCTTGAGCTTGAGCCTGGGCCTGAGCCTGAGCCTGAGCCTGGGCCTGGGCCTGGGCCTGGACCTGTGCTTGGGCTTGAGCTTGGGCCTGGAATCGAGAAACAAACTCCTTCTGCAAGCCATGGAAATGCATTTTCTGGTAAGCAAGCAGTTTCGGCAGTGTAAGCTGGCCCATGGCCTGAGGATTCTGGCTAGCCCACTGTTTGAGTTGACCCCATGATTTGAGGATTTTGGGGACAGGGGGAGGATTTGGCATCCCCGCCATACCAGCGGATATGACACTTGGCGGGAAAGCAACACGGTCCATATCACGAATTTGATCCTCGGAAAGTTGGACCTGCTGCATATACTGCTGACGGGAGAGGTCTGCCTGAGACTGAGGTTGGGCCTGGGGTTGAAACGGTGATGATTTAGCGTGCTGGATGGGTTGAGATTGTGGCATGGCTGGCTGTGGCTGCTGCTGTGGCTGTTGTGATGTTTGTGGATGCATGGATACTCCGCCGGCACCCACGAGATGTTGTTGCATGCCCATAGCATTATTGCGCATGTTCGGATCCGCGCCGAACTGCAGGCCTTGATTGAGATTCTGAGGAGGTTGATTTTGGTCAACGGACTGTTGCTGGGGTGGTTGACCTGGCTGGGGGGCCTGATTCTGCCCGGCCACGCCTAGTTGGTTCGCACGGTTCTCATTGGCCGTCTGTCGGACTCGCATTTGTTTGGTATAAGATTCTAGAAAAGCACTTGTATTCTGCGGAGGCAATTGTGAGAGATGGTCGCGGATAGCTTGGGGGAAATTAGGAGGAATTATAGGACGGGCTGCTCCGCCGGGCTGGGGTGGTTGTTGCTGCGGAGGTTGGCCGGTGGGATTAGCGCCCATGGGCATGGAAGGAGTTGCTCCTTGAGGTGGTAGCTGTTGTGCTATCTGAGATGGCTGGTTTGGCTGTGAAGACATGGCTAACTGGTTGTTCATGCCAGCTTGGTTCCGTGCCTGGTCAGGCTGCAGCTGGAATTGAGGACCTTTGCTCATTGCGTTTTGTTGCTGTTGCTGTTGCTGTTGCTGTGCAAGGAGCGCTGGATTCATAGTAGGCCTATTTCCTGGCTGTTGTTGTTGTTGTGGTTGCTGTTGCTGTTGCTGCTGCTGCTGCTGCTGCTGCTGCTGTTGTTGTTGCTGTTGCTGCTGCTGCTGATGGTTTTGGAAGCGCTGCTGAGCCTGAGCTGCAGCAAACTGGGGGTTGAGCATAGTAGCATTCGGTGGGTTTGCAGTCGCTGGCACCACAAGTTGACCCGCCTCTTGCGAACGTAGACCATCTTCCTGTTGCCCCTGGATCTGGTCGACACTGCCGTTAAAAGCAAGCTCTGGCTGGCTGATGGGGACGTTGTGCTGCTGCATCCCCATCATGGGCTGGCCACCCATCTGGGCCATCATGGCGGCCTGCTGTGCGGGATCCATACCACCTGGCTGCTGACCATGGCCACCCAGGCCCATGCGTTCCAGCCGCCGTCTCCTGATCTGAGCGAGGGCCTGTGATCTGAAGATGTGGGCAAGCGGGTCTATTCTCTTTTGAGCGAGTATCTCCTTTTGCTCTGGAGGCATGTTCTGCAAGCTCATCTTGATCTTTTCGAGGTTTTCGGCGGAGGTGCTGCGGGCGATCTGGTCCGCCAGAGCATTGACATCTTGGAGTTCATTAGGCGCGAGACTCCCAAAGTCCTGGAGCATACCGAGTCCCTGGCGAGGTTGCTGCTGCTGCTGTTGCCGGGCAAGCTGCTGCTGGATGAATGGGGAGGCCTGTGTCTGCTGAGGCTGCATATGTTGGAGGTTCATACGCCCGTTTGGCATCTGACCGGGGAGTGGTGAGCCCTGCATTGACTGCTGCGTCTGCGGCTGTTGCTGTTGTTGCTGTTGCTGTTGTTGTTGTTGTTGCTGCTGCTGCTGCTGCTGACGCTGTTGCATTGCAGCAAGCAGGGTCATCTGCGAAGGGGAAACTTGCATGCCTCCATTCTGCTGCTGTTGTTGCTGTTGCTGGTTTGCATGCTGCATCATGCCATTCTGCATCATCATGGCCTGCTGCAGTCGAGACTGATGGATTTTATTGTGTTTCTCATTCACTAAGCGTTCATAATCGGCCTATGGAGGCGTTAATATCTCACTGTTACTATGAAAGAAGAAGAAGGAAGAGGAAGAAGAAAACAGTCTACCTGCTCGTTGGCCTCCCGAAAGGTCTGTTCTTCGAATCTGAGGCCCGCAGTGATGGTCTTGCCGACTTCGCAGAGTGGTTTTGCTAGACGGAGGGCGGATATGCTGCAGTCGCGGAGAGAAGGAAGTGTGAGCCTTTTGGAGTTTTCTGGCGAGCGAGAGTAGAGTGGGAAGAGGACCGAACCACGGTACCGCGCACCAACGCCCGGCCAGTCATGTCGTCATCCACCCACGAGAGAGCAGATGAATAATAGCAGTCGAACACAGGAGAGACGACGGTGACTTGGCCGGGCCGTAGGGTGTTGCGGACAGGCTGGCAGCAAAAGGGGAGAGGGAGAGGGATGGACGCACATAGTCATGGCCTTGAGGGCGCGCTCTTGCACGGGGAAGGCCTCTCGCCAGCCGGTAAAGGGGCCCTGGGGCTGCAGCGTCTGCACCACGAGCTTGAAGAGGGCCTGGTTGTCTGGTTTCTGGACAGGCTGCGGCTTCGCGCCGGCCGCGGGCGAGGACAGCTGGTGGAAGGAGTTCATGGTGAGACGGGCAGCAGGAGGAGGCGGTGGAGGAGGAGGAAGAGGAGGAGACGGTGGTGAGACCGGGCGATGCGAGCGGGTGCCAGCTGCATGGACAAGAGAGGCCGTCGGGGTCAGGGCGGGCTGGGTCGAGCTGGGTTGAGCTGGCCTGGCGCTGGCGATGTTGAATGCAGGAGGAGTCGCGGCGGTCGTGGGAGTTGGCGATGTCGAAGACGTGGAGGAGGTTGAGGTGGTCGAGGCGGACGAGGATGCGCGCAGGTGAAACGGGGCTTGCTGGGCTGGGCATTCTGAGCGTCTGTCAGCGATCAGGCATCAGAAATGATAGTCGAAGAGAAAAAGACAATAAAGAAGTAAAGAAGTAAAGAAGTAAAGAAGAGAGAGAGAGCTGGCTTTCTTCGCTGGCTCGCTGCTTCACTCTGATCGCTGCTATTCACTCGCCTCTGTCATTCTCGGTCTTCCTCTCACTCCCTCCTGATACTTGAGACGCCGTAATCACCGTTTCATCTGCAGCCTCAGCTCTCCCTGCGCCGTCTTGCTGCTCCTTTATTAATCCTGACTCTGCCGCTGCCTCCCTGGCCGCTGCTTCTCCTGCTCGACTCCTTTTCTCCTCTTCCTTTCTCTTCCTCTTCCTTTCTCCTCCTCCTTTCCAGCGACTCTCAACTATACTCAGACTACTTTTAACTACTCAGACTACTTTTAACTACTTTAACGCTTTATCTAAATAATTCTTTATTTTCTTCGATAAAAAGCAAAAAAGCGACTCCAGAAATTCGATATCACGTGATGGAGATGAGCTTCAAGGTTTTCCCTTTTAGGAAATATAGATCTCCTTTCTCGACTTCAACTTCGACCTCTTCAACGACTCAACAGCTTCAACACGCAACATCTGAACGACCGATCAACCTCAATAACCTCAACAGATAAATGGACTGATGGCGACGCCGGCCAGCTCGGGCGTGTTCGTGGCGCTCTCGCTCGCGGCCATCAGCCTGCTCGTCCTCGCCCTGCTGCGGCGCTTCCTGCCCCTGCGCGCAACTCCGGCCTTCGTCGTGCTGCCCGTCTTCCTCGCCCTCGCCCTGCCTGCCAGCACCGTCCTGCTCGTGCCCATTGACCTCGCCTCCAGCCCGCCAGACAGCCACCCGCCCGCCGGGATATGGCTCTCCTCCCGCCTCATGCTCGTCTTCTGGCGCATCGCCTACTGGCTCACCTTCGTCCTCACCTGGTACGCCTTATAGACTGATAATCTCTGCTATTGGGGTTCGTCTACTGACTGGCTGCTATAGGGCTATTCTACCCTTTCTAGGGGAGTATCTCGACTCCGGCCACAGGTCGCCCCGGGAGCGCATGCTCTACTCCCTCCGCTCCAACGCCCGGTACCAGCTCATCGTGCTCTGCTCCGGCCTGCTGGGCCTGATATACCTTGCTCTCACCCATGAGCTGCGTTTCTCCTCTCTCCGGGGACTGGTCATGGCCCTCGCCTACGCCTGGGGCCTGGTGCTGGCCATCTACCTGCTCGGCCACGGTCTGGTCGCCCTGCCTCGCAAGATGTGGCGGGCTGCCTGGACGGGCAACAGGCTGCGCAGGCTGCAGCAGCGGGCGGTCCGCGTGCACGATGCGCTTGTCGAGGCCGGCGGGAAGCTCGAGGAGCTCCGGAGCATCGTCTCTCTGCTGCGGCGGAAGCGTGGGCTCAGCCTCGAGATGCAGGAGTGGGTGGACGAGCTGGTTGACGTCGTTGCTGCTGCTGGACAGGGACAGGATGTGCGACGAGGGGGGTCTGCTGCCGTTCAGAGTCTCCAGTGCGAAGGGAGGGCTTCAGTGCCGCATGTCATTACGGACCGGTACATGGCGGGCCTGACCAGAGACCTCTACCGGGCCAGACACAAGCATGCCAGATACGCGGATGCCTGGTCCTGTCTTGTCTGCGAAGCACTCGACTGCCAGACCATACTGGACGCAGCAACATCAAAGCAGCTGGTCTTTGACTCTCGCTCGTCCTCTTCGTCGTCGTCATTGTCATCTTCTGGCTTTGGCCGCCCTCTCTTGACTCCGTATCTTCGGTATCTGCTATATACCCACATCCTACCGGCCGTCTACATCTGCCTGGCTGCCGTCTTCGCCTGTCTGTCCGTCTGCATCCTCTGGTCTGAGCTTGTCCGCACATTCTTCCCCTTTCTCTCCATCGTTGCCCTCGCGACGCCTTCGTCCGAGCCAGTGGGCTTCCCTTCCCAACTTCTCACCTCTGTCTGGCTTCTCTACCTCTGTGCTGCCACCGGAACAGGCATCTCAGACGCTCAGATTTGGGGTAACCGGGCCCTTGTTCCGCGCAACACCTACCACGAGTCTGCCTGCTGGTACGCAGGCCAGGTCGCCCGACTCACCGTTCCTCTGGCCTACAACTTCCTCACTCTCCTGCCCACAGACCTCCAACTACGGACGACCTTCTACGACTTCCTGGGCAAGGGAATCAACCTGACCCTGATCGGAGAAGGCTTCGACCTGTTCTTCCCGCTGTTCATCCTCTTACCCGTTGCTGCCACAGCGTTCAACCTCTACGGCAAAGTCAAGGGACTGGTGGGCTTGGGAGACATGGAGATCTACGGCGAAGACGAGGAAGACAACCCGTCTGGCTTCGGGACTGGTGGGTGGCGGGAGGGCCGCTCCCTCATCGAAACCGAGTTGAATGGACCAGGGTACCTTGGCCTATCCAGCACCAGCAGAACCCCCAGGAGCGGCAGCAGGACGGCCGCTCACCGAGCCAACCTGCCCGACACCCTGCCACGCTACAGAGATGCACCACCGCCAGCAACGCCCATCAGCAGAAGTACCGCTGCTGCTCCCGCACGCACTGCTGCCTCTACCTCTGCTCCACGGCGGCTGACGGAGAGGAGTCGAGGAGACGAGGGATTCTTCCAGTCGTTTGCCCACCGCGTCCG